AACCAGTTGGTGAGACTGAGGTTGATATCGTGTTCCTCTCGGAGTCCTCAAAGTTTATCACCGAACCAAACTTCAAGAAACAGCAGAAATTTTACTCCGACATCACCAACAGCTTTATCCTGGGGGAGAAGAACGCTCTCTTCGGGGCTGTCTCCTATGGTGATGATGTCAAGAAGGCGTTTGACTTAAAGACATACGTCCTCCACAAGCCACTCTCAGAGGTTGTCCAGTCTGTTTTATATACATGCACCTATCTCTAATTAAGTTGAAAACTGTGCTACCCTTTTTCACTTGCCTTTGTTTTTTTTTGTTCATATTTTACGTTAAATTTATGATATACTATACTTCTTACACTACCGGTAATTTTTAAATGTTGTGTTATATTTTTTTCATGTGCTATTGTAACATATTGAATACAGATAGACACCTGTAGTGATAAAACATGTTTTTACCTTCGTGATAATTTTTTTTTACCTTTTCAGGCGATCAACTCAATCGCCTACCAAAAAGGGGGCGTCAACCCCGCCAAGTTGAATGATCTGATCACCACCAATGACGTCTTTAATGCCAAGAATGGCGGAAGACCTTCAGCTCCTAAAGTTTTTGTCGTCCTTATCCATGGGCCCTTACAGAACCCTGCAGGATGTAAGAAAATATGTGTTGTCAGTGTTGGTGCTTACCGTAACTATGTGAATTTAACTTTTTAACATTGTTGGTGCTTACCGTAACTATGTGAATTTAACTTTTTAACATTGTTGGTGCTTACCGTAACTATGTGAATTTAACTTTTTAACATTGTTGGTGCTTACCGTAACTATGTGAATTTTAACATTGTTGGTGCTTACCGTAACTATGTGAATTTAACTTTTTAACATTGTTGGTGCTTACCGTAACTATGTGAATTTTTAACATTGTTGGTGCTTACCGTAACTATGTGAATTTAACTTTTTAACATTGTTGGTGCTTACCGTAACTATGTGAAGTTCACTTGTTAACATTGTTGGTGATATCAAATGCAACGTATTAATATAATGTCTTGTTAAACTTCAAGGTAGCACAGAATACTTGAATAGCTACATTTGCAGGGGATGCAACTCTGCTTTCTACAAATAGAATTACTTAAATAAACGGTTATCTGACATTGATTCATTGGAATAATCAATAACTTGTTACAATTTTTCGTAACATCTAATCGAACACGACATTTATTTTACCTTAACAACAAATAACATTTTGTGAATTATTATCGGAGCAATTCGTCCTACCTTTCATCCTACCCACAATATCTGCCACCCACAAACAAAATGATAACCCTTGAATTGTGTATGGTTATGTTGCTACTACATACCGATTTCTTTGAACATACGTTATATTTCTTGCATCTTTGTGTTTTATATTTTAAATCTGCGAAACATTTGTAACCATTTAATAATATGCTTAACAGCATTGTACAGAAATATAATTATACTAGACTACCCGTCATCCGTTGGATAACTGTGGGTTTCGGGGATCATCAATAAAAAAACATCACGTCTGTCACTTATCGTCACTAAAAACCAGACCCCACATTCAAAAAGATGTTTTTTATCTTTTAAAAACACCGAAAACACCGATTTCGGACTATCCTTTCATATACTGACGTCACAAGTGACCTACTAAACTCTACTTCCCTTGCCCGGTGTCCCGCCAAGTCTCAGACAACATGTTTTTATCGTTTAAAAAAACGATTCCAGCCGAGCATGTCTCTGACCACGGGAGCCGGACGTTTTCCCGAAAGACACTTGCCCGAATGCCGTTTGCCCGAAGGCCGATTTCCCGAATGGACACTTGCCCGAATGCGACAAATGCCAGAATGGACACTTGCCCGAATGCGACAAACGCCCGAATGGACACTTGCCCGAATGCGACAAATGCCCGAATGGACACTTGCCCGAATGCGACAAATGCCCGAATGGACACTTGCCCGAATGGGACAAATGCCCGAATGGACACTTGCCCGAATGCGACAAATGCCCGAATGCCATTTGCCCGAAGGCCGTTTGCCGAAAAATGTTAATATTAGATAATAAATAATATATCCAAACAGACATTCTTTAATCAATTTAAATTTTAAACTTTGATTATAAACACAATTCTAAGCATAAAACAAAGCTGTTTATATTTTTAAATTTAGCTTTTTTTTCAAAACTAAGAAAGTGCAGTAAGAGAAACTTTATTCTTTAATAAATGTAAGGGGATGTTGGCGGCGGTGTTATAACATTCTTTTGATGAATGTTTTAAACACCTTGTTTAGCCGACGTGTCGCGGTGGTTATATAGCGCTTATGACATGGTGTAGGCGGCGCGGCGTCTCGCAACATTGAACAGAGGCGCGTTTGTTTGATTTATCTTATTATGCTTAACTTGTGTGGTGATCATTTAACAAAAGAATGAGGCGAGGTCTAGGTGGCAAATTTAGAAACTAAACGTAGTCAGATATGTTTGATCTCCATTTAATGCATCTTGTTAAGACAATGTGTTGAAGCGATTACTTAATAAAGAAAGCAAAACTCATTTTAAAATCCGGAGATGAATGAAAATTGTATTTTTGTCTAATTTCATATATGGAAGAGAAAGTATGTTTCTACACTTTTTAAATATCAAATACAAATTAATTTAAAATGTCTGCGTGGTAATATATAATATTATTTTTTTCACTTTCTTTTTGCGTAGATGTGTTTTGTTTACCAACATTTTAAATTAAAATTGATTACGAATGATTATTTAGTAATATATAATGTTAACATTTTTCGGGCAAACGGCCTTCGGGCAAGTGGCATTCGGTCATTTGTCGCATTCGGGCAAGTGTCCATTCGGGCATTTGTCCCATTCGGGCAAGTGTCCATTCGGGCATTTGTCGCATTCGGGCAAGTGTCCATTCGGGCATTTGTCGCATTCGGGCAAGTGTCCATTCGGGCGTTTGTCGCATTCGGGCAAGTGTCCATTCGGGAAATCGGCCTTCGGGCAAACGGCAGTCGGGCAAGTGTCTTTCGGGAATTTGTCGTAGACCCCTGACCACACTATCCCTTCATATGCTTAGGACAAAGAAACAGATGAACTCTACTTCACCTGCCCTGTATCCCGCTCAGTTCAGATAGGCAACTTTATCATTCACATCTAAAATATAAAATAAAAATTAAAAAAAAACACAATAATAATTTATCATTGACGTATTAGTCTAGAATCCGTGCCACCCGCATGCAAGCCGATTAATCTAACAACTTAGCTGTGACGTCACAGAAGGTTTTTTTATACTAAAGTTTAATACTTTGAGTCTCCTTATGCAACTTGATTCACGCGCATAGATCTAGATCTAAGTCTAGTAGTAGTAGCTTTCAAATTAAATTTTATCTTAAATTAGCCAAACAAAGATTTATATAAAATAATGAAGGTTTGAAATTATCTAGATCTAGATAGAATTATCTAGATCTAGATTCCACGACTCGTTTGCTTAAGTCTTACTCTTAAGTCTAGTTTTTTGCGTAACTCTTTAATTCTTTCTAGATCTAGAATCTAGATCTAATCATTAGACCTATTCTAGCTAGATAGCACTAGATCTAGATAGATAAATCACAAAGATTTATATCAAGTATTTAAGGACTAAAAATGTATTATGATTATAAAATGGATTGTATTTTTATGTAATTAATCTTTTGTTTGACCTAGATTCTAGATCTAGATCTATAAATAACTTGCTTGGCCACGTACTATTTTTAGATCTATAAATAACTTTCTTGGACAGCTTGTAGAGCTAGAGAAATTTATTGTAAAACTAAATGAAAAAGACAGTTGAAAATTTATATAAGGGTTGTAACGTAAAAAAAAACAACAAACGGACGTATTGTTAAAGTTATGGCCGACAGAAAATTAGCTTTAGAACGCGTTAAACTTTTGAATGGGCCACAAAGTCTATGATGGAAGCCGCCGTGTTATATTGTACTAAAAAGTAAACAAAATTTGTAACGTCACTATTCAGTCAAAGAAAGCCATTGTTCTAAAACTTTAAAATTTATGTGGTTAATCTACCTATGAAAAAATCAATAAATTAATTAACGTCTTTAAACATATTTGTGAATAACAGTCTGTCTGAAAACAAAAAGTGTTCTCTATCTACATACTATTTTACAGCTCTCTACGTAGAGTAGATCCATTTACAATAGTCAATCAGACAAACAAAACAACAACAAAAAAATATTCAAACATGTAAACAAACTTGAGTTTTAGTAGTATATAGATAGCATTAAACAGCGATCAATTTTTTTTTCATGTTTTTAGTTGCAACGGTAGCCAAGGCGATCAGACAAAGAGGCATCATCATCATCACCATCGGACTCCCTGACGCTAAGGACAATGAACTCCTGGACGTGGCCGGGGACAAGAAGTACATAATCAAGGCCAGCTCCATTGACCAACTGGACATCATTAAAGAGAAAGTCATCAGTAATATCCGTGAGGGTAGGTGACTATTTTAGCAGTTTTAAAATTTGTTTTGTTAATATTAAATAATTTTTTTTTAATTTAAAATTAATAACTCAGTGGTTTACATTTTAAATTATGCTTAATATATCTCATTCCATAACAAATACAACAACTTTAATATTATTTATTTTTTTACAAAGTTTCTACTCGCTACAACTCATAGATTAACTAGTATATTTTCTTCACAAGGATCAGTAATATTTTATACTCTTATAATTACTTTCTTTTTTTCTTCTTTTCACAGCCCCTAAGCCAGCAGGTATGGTTACCAAATGCAGTAAATTTGCAAATACGCAAAAATTCGATGTTTTAATTTTAAGATCAGTATAATTTAATTACAAGAGCGTCTTAAAAGTTTTATTATATTTCCACTTTAAAAACATAATTTTATTTCAAAAGATTGAAAACGTATTAATACTATTAATAACTCATTATAAAATATTATTCTTTCGTTACACACGTATTTAAAAAAAATACTTCCAGTCGTCTGCAAAGCCGCGGCAGCTGATGTCATCCTTGTGATTGACTCGTCTGCAAGTATTGGGGTGGACAACTACAAGAAACTGCTGGATTTCATCTCCAAACTGACGGAAGGTGTCACCGTGGGGCCTAATGACTTCCTGTTCGGGTCTCTGGCCTTTAGCTATGGCGTCTACAAACAGTTTGACCTCAGGTCGTACTCGGACCGTGCTACATTGTCTAAGGTGATCTTTTGTACACAGATTATATATATATATATATATATATATATATATATATATATATATATATATATATGATATAGTTATGTTTTGATATACAATTTACAAATACTTTACTTTTATGGAGATAAAATAAAAAAATACAAAATTACAAATTAAAATAAACCTTCTTTTATAATTAGTAACTTGTTATATAACATTTCGATATAAACATATTACTTGATGAACATGCTGTAATAGTTATATTTAATGTAAATATGTAATAACATTGACTTGGTCAAATAGTACAAGCCAACATAACGCATGATGTACAATGTTTATGTTTCATAGGCTGTACTTAGCACCAAGTACTACAAGGGTGGGACAAACACACACAGTGCATTGAACTTCATCAGCAGAGAGGACATGTTCTCCTCTGCTAATGGGGGTCGGGACTTTGCCACAAAGTTGGCTATAGTGTTGACAGACGGTGAATCTGCAGACCCAGTTGCAAGTAAGTTTTTCGGTTACAATAAAAACAATAAACATTTCATATCTATCAAAATATCTTAAGAATAGAATATCAGTTCAAAACACCTCAAGACATAGTTTCTCAGGACAAAATTATATGTTGGCAAAACGCGTCTGAACAAAATATTTGAAGCATAGATATCTTACCAATAAGTTCTTTCAAAAGCTTTCTCCACATATCTGGATGGGGAGTTTAAAAAGTAGGCGAGACCCCTCGTTTACAATTTATTATTTAAAAAAGGTTTATAAATGTACAACTTCTACAAAAATCTGCTTCTTTATGAAATCTTAATTACTTACATGGTTTGCATTAGACAAGAAGAAAGTATAATGAATATGATCATTTTAATAAAGTATTTTTAAGTTCAAAATGAAATACAACTATATATGTCTGTGTGATGTTGTATAGCATCACAAGCAGCCAAAGCTCTGCGAGACAAAGGCATTAAGATCATCAGTGTTGGCATCGCTAAGGCCAAAGACCAGGAACTGTTGGCTATAGCAGGCAACCAGAACAATGTTTTCAAGGCGGAGACTTTTGATGCGCTGGACTCAATCAAAAACAGTATAGCTGGGCGAGTCTGTGAGGGTATGTATCTTTTTAAGTCACGTTTGAACATTAATACATATGCAATATATATATATATATATATATATATATATATATATATATATATATATATATATATATATATATATATATATAGTGTGTGTGTGTGTGTTACGTTTAAATTAAAGTCAGGTAGAGTTTAATTACTCAGTTTTCGCTTTAAAATAATTCTAAATGTCCTCATCTAACTTATACTCATTATTCAATTTACAGTCCACTCTCAAGAACAAGGTAATCATTTTGAGTCCATTATTTTATAACATCGATTTGTATTCACATTGCTTTTGGGTGCAATGACTACAGGTTACACGAAGTTTTAAACTAAAATTATTGATAAGTAATATATTAAGGTTACATTTTATATTTTAACTCAGCTTAAAAAATATAACTTTTAATTTTTGAATGTATTCAGTATTGTTTACAAGTAGGCATATGTACTAGCTATTTTAAATTGACTGTTTAAAAGTAAATCAATCATTATTTGCAACCGATTAACCAACATAAATAATTTAGCATATACCATGGTAGGGATACATAAAATGTGTTTAGTTATAATAACGTAAAAATCTTTTTTTTTTTTACAATTTTCAGACAACAAGGAAGTAGGTTAGTATCATTTACTTCTTTCCTATTTTTAGAATATGAATTTAGATCGTCAGATTTTTACTTTTTCTAATTTATGTCTCGTATTAACTTACTAGATAAAACTGCTATATATTCATTGAAACGTAACACTGTTATACATTTATATTAGAACCTATCAAATATATTTCAAAAGCGTAAGCATACTTAAACGTCATTGACTTTTATTTAAATGTCTTGAAACAACATAAGATGGCACTAGTTTTTAAAAGCAGAGGCGTAGCGAGGGGGGGGGGGATGCGGACCGCACCAGTTGACACCATTTAGGGGGGTGACACCAAGGCAAAAATTAGCAAAATATATAGAGAAAAATGTTAATTCCACTTAATTAAGTGATTAATTCGAGTGTTAAATAGTGTTTTAAGAAGTGCAAATCGAAAGTTTGAGGGGGGGAGGGGGGGGGGGGGGGGTGTGCAAATCGAAAATTGAAAGTTTGTCCTCTGGGGGGTGGGGGATGACACAATTAAGTGTCGCACCGGGTGACACCCGACCTCGTTACGCCAGTGTTTAAAAGTCTAGTTATTTCTCTGATATATGTAAACAAACCATACATGTAGAAAACTAACCTTTGAACAAATGCATATTTTTAGCGCAATTTCCATACTGGGGGATTGCGATTATTAACTCGTCATTTCTCGATGGATGGATGGATGGATGGATGGATGGATGGATGGATGGATGGATGGATGGATGGATGGATGGATGGATGGATGGATGTGTGTCCGCAGCGTGTCCGCAGCTTTAAGTCGTATCTCCTCCTCAACGAAGCAATATCGAGGACTAGTTCAAAAAGCAAATATGTTAAGCAAGTTCCGAGGATGATTGTGATTTTAAAAAATTCCCGGAATTCCTTCCTGGATTTCCCGGAAAAGCCAAAAAAACTCGAAAAAATGCAGTTTTTGGCCCATGTCTCGGCAACCAGACCACTTAGCGTCTTGAAACATTTACCAATCGATTTCTGCCATAATTTAGAACAATATTGCCGAAGAAAGTTTTCAAAAACATCCTTTCGTTCGGTCACAAAAAAATTAATTAAGAATTTTTAAACTGAGCATCGTGTAGGCCTAGGATGATATTTTTAATTTAAACTGAGCATCGTGTAGATTTTTAGCGCAAAGCGCTAAGGTTCGAAAGGATTTTACCATAGCGAATCAGCGGAGGTTCGAAAGGATTTTTACGTAGGTCTGTGAATTCTAAAAAAATTAATTAAGGAAATTGCGCTTAAATTGTCACTAGACTTTTTATTAACTTGTTTTTCTTTTATTCTTAATCCAACAGATAAATGTGACGCATTTGCTGACTTCGTCCTCTTGCTCGACTCGTCTGACAGCATCGGTAAAGACAACTACATCAAGCAGCTCAACTTTGCTGGAGAGCTGGCCAAAGCCTTCACACTAGGACCCAAAGACGTGCAGTTTTCAGCCAGCATCTTCAGTGACGTGGTCAAGAAACTCTTCAACTTGAATCAGTACAATAGTCAGGACGCTTTGAGTAAAGTAAGCATTCTCGTGCATTGCACCTGTAATTTTATATATATATATATATATATATTTATATATATATATATATATATATATATATATATATATATATATATATATACATATATATATATATATATATATATATATATATATATATATATATATATATATATATATATATATATATATATATATATATAATGTGTGTTTGTATAATGTGTATTTTCATTAGCTTCCCATAGTAAGTTCTACTTTGTTTTATTACCACACGTATCAAATTTTTGACACCAATCACATTGTGACACCTATTACATTGTGACCCCTATCAAATATTTACACGTATCACATTGTGACACGTTTCATATTTTGACACTGATCATATTGTGACACTGATCACATTGTGACACCTATCAAATTGTGACACCTATCAAATTGTGACACCTATCAAATTGTGACACATATCACATTGTGACACCTATCAAATTGTGACACCTAGCAAATTGTGACACCTATCAAATTTTGACACCTAACAAAATGTGACACCTATAAATTTGTGACACCTATCAAATTGTGACGCATATCAAATTGTGACAAATTGTGACACGTATCAAATCGTGACACGTATCAAATTGTGACTCTCCTCCAGGCCTTTTTGGCAGCACCCTACATGCAGGCTTCCACAAAAACCCACCTTGCTTTGAACGAAATCGTTGACAAAGATTACTTCGGCGTTGCAAACGGTGGGCGTACAGACGCTAAGAAAGTTGTCATTCTGATGACCGATGGTAGATCTTACTCAACCCTAAGGAGTAAGTGTTTGTTTGGGCCAATATTAAAAAAACATGTTCTGCTGTTTCATATGTGCCTTTTACTTTAATTTTAAAGGTAATGTTTTTTAGACCGCTTACTATTCTAAATAGAATATTATGGATATAAAATGTGCTTTTCATTATACATTGTTTAAAAAATTATCGTTGATACGTCAAAAAGTATATACAACTATAAATCAGTCGTTAAAATTGTAAAGACAGCAAAATCAACCAAGTAAATATTATAAACTTCAATATTAAAAAAAGATACATAATTAAAACCATTATCTTTTCAGTTATGTTTAAAAATCGAATTGTCTGTGTACTCCTCTAACTCTCACTAAAAGAGATACAAAAAATATTGTATTTAATTCTTCCATTTTTACAGCTACAAAAGCAGCCAAGCGTGTCAGAGATCTAGGAGTGACTATCATCACTATTGGCATTGCTGAAGCCGTGGAATCTGAGCTGTTGGCAGTAGCAGGCGACCCCAGCAACTTTTTTAAGGCCGCGACCTTCGACATGCTGGACAAAATTAAACGAAAAGTTTCACAGCGTACATGCCAAGGTGAGCACATAAAGTACATGTTAACTTGATCAGCTTAAGTTCCTGCTTCTGTGTGGCTTAAAATAAAACAACGATAACTATAAAATCTTAGAAATAATATTTGGTGTTTGGTCTTTTTAATAACGGCAACACTTCGATATGTTCTGGAAATTACAGGATTGATTTGTTGGTCGTTTTTTTGCGCGATTCATGTCGTCAAATAGTAGATTTCGAAGATATTACTTAAGTATCGTTTTATCATTTATTTATTTTTTCTTTCACAGTGCAAACAGAGGTTTCAAGTAAGTCATTCATTGATGTAACCATGAGGAGACATTTATTTAAATATACTTTTTAAAATTTTATGATGAGAAAAAATGTGCTTAAATTATGTAGGTTTACGTATAGATTGAAGTATGATAGTATATTTGAAAGAAGTGTTGCGAATATAAGTAGTACTTGTTTAAGATAGCTGTTCATATTTAATTAATTACTATTTTAACAAAATCCTTTTCAGAGCCTTCCACTGGTAACTACATTTTTTTTATTCTTACATGTTTTTTTAAATTATCAAAGAGCTTTAATTTCCAAACTAACTAGATTAAAATAAGTAGAATATATTTATTTTTAAAATTAATAGTTATTAATATTAAAATAGTTTTATAAATTATAAGATTTTAATTAACCAAAATGTATATTTAAAATAACGATTTTTATTTTTATTCCATTTCCTCCACTGTTTAAAGGAACAGATGATTCAGGTAAACACGATTAATTTTTGTTTATTTTATTCGAGTGTGACTATAACACCAATTCATAGTTAGTGGCTAGATATCTACTAGTATTGATTTTTAGGAATTAAATGTTTTAATTTAATTTTGTTTTAAATAATTGGTAATTATATATTTTTTTCTATCCAAAAACAGAGTTGTTAATTGAAGATCGTAAGTTATTTTTAATGATATCATATTTGAATTATATAGAAGTATTATGAAAATGCATAATTTAAATTACAGATTAAAGTTTTCATTGTTTAAAAATTGCATTGAAAAATCGTATAATAGTGCATGTTTTATAATGTTAACAAATGGCATTGAGTAATGATATACTAATTCCATGTTTTAAAATGCAAAAAAAATGTACATTGAGTATTGCTATAATAAGTCAAAGTTTGAAAATATTGAAATAATTGCAATGAATAATGCTATAACGTGCGTATTTTTAAAATTTCAGTTGACACTCTACCAAAACCAACCGGTACGTATGTTGCAAATACATAATTCTAAACAAATAGTATTAATTCTGATGATTTCCAATATTTTATTATTGTCTACTATAAATAACATTACTGACGTTGTATTTGAAATATAAATTAACACATTCAGTTATTTAAATTTTTTAGCTAAAAATACATTTTAGAAGTGTTTAACTTATTTCACAAATTTATTCTTGTGTATTGTACTATTGAAACTAGTCTTATCATTTATAATTTTAAAATATTAAAGTAATCCTTAGCTTTATTTATTGTTTTGACTTACATAATAAAATATTACTTTGTCAATATAAACTTAAACAAAATATTTTATATTTAAACGAATATTTGGAAAAAGTGCAATTTTAAGTTGTGTCATTTATTTTGTTCAATCTTTGTATCCGTAGCCCCTCCGAAACCGTACACAAATCTGGTGGATGTTGTTGTCGCCATTGATGGCTCCACCAATTCAGGAAAAGTCAACTTTCCCAAGCTGCTCTACTTTGCCGCCAGCGTCATACGGTACTTTAAAATCGGAAACAAAAATGCGCAGTTCGGCCTCATCGTCTTCGGCGAAACCCCCAAGAAAGTTTTTGATCTCTACAAAAATGATAACCCAGAAACAGTTATTGAGGTAAGAATGCATGCGATTGATTATCTTAAAAACAGCTTGAATAATAAACAACTCTTTTATATCTTTGAAAATTAGTTTTAAATGCATACAGGCCTACTTTTCAAACTTATAGCTAATATTATTAACATTCAAGAAAAAAAATTAAAATCTCTATGATTACGATATGGCTGGTGTAATAATTCTTCAGGCTGTTGAAGTAAAATCAGTACTTAATTATTACTTTTTTGAATAGGTGTCGACTTATGTTTAAAAAAAAAAGGCTGGTATAGCTTTTAATCACGAAAACTTGTATCAATGTTTCTCAGTCGACTTTATCTGCACCATTTGTGGGCGGAGCTCCAAACTTCCACAAGGGCTTCAAGAAAATCATCGAGGACAACATGTTCTCTGAGGCCTCGGGTGGGAGGGACGTCCCGAAGGTTGTGCTGCTCATCACCAGCGGACCATCCCAAAGCCCGAGTTTATGTAAGTGCCTACAATAGGGCTGGTAAGTAGGTCACCAACCAGTTATATGGCTCATGCAGGTTTTATTGAGCCGTTGAACTGTTTGGTGACCTACTTACCAGCCCTATTGACACAATATTTTACACGCTTTCTGTACACTGACATTATTTTTTTCAATAGTAATTTGTGTTATTGTTACTGTAGCAACAGCACTCATTCGTCAGCCACCCTTTATTAATCATTCAAATATTATAACACGCCTATTTCTTTTAACGATCTTGCGATGTCAATGAACATACACATTGTCCATGTCTCATCAGCTGATCAGCTGGCCAAGAAACTGAAAAACCAAGGTGTGACCATTATATCTGTGGGAGCCGACAAGGCCAACCCAAGTGAACTGATCAAGATCTCAGATCTACCAAAGAACGTCATCAAGGTGGACACAGTGGACAATCTGGACACAGTCAAAGACAAAGTCTCCAAGGTCATATCTGAAGGTAGTGTTCAAATGCAATTAGTTTCATCTCAACTTTGAAAACTAACGCTAACTGCTGAACACAAACACACACACACGTATATATGTGTATATATATATATATATATATATATATATATATATATATATATATATATATATATATATATATATATATATATATATATATATATATATATATATACATACACATATATATGTGTGTGTGTGTAGGTGTGGGTGTGTATATTTATAAATATTCATTTATATGTTTATATATCTCCAGCTCCAAAACTATCAAGTTCAGAATCACCTGACTACCTAGAAGAAGAGTTGCCCTTCCTAGTTGATGATACTACCGCAAGTCCTCAAGTTCAGACGACTGCCCTCCCATCAGAGGACTACATACAGTACCTAGATGTTGATACAGAGTCGAAACCCTCGGGCACAACCGATTACATAATTTATGAAGAGGATCCATTCCCGGATGATTTTGGTGGTGTTGTGAAGCTTTGCGGCAGCAATGCCATGACTCTTGAATTAGAGCTTCCACAAACGGTTGCCGGTATTGCATTTTTTATGTTCACATTTCAATGGTTTAAATTGTCTGAAATGTAAACCTCCTTATTTATATTTTAAACGAAGTTAAAATTTTGGCATAAAGTATGCTGGTTGAAAATTATTATAATACTTATTAAAATTAAAGCGTTCTAAATATTTTAAGTGTTGATTTACAGAGCCATCGGGTAGAGCACCAGCCGCTTCTAAATGTACGAAAAATGTGAAGAAAGACGTCGTCTTCGTACTGGACTCCTCAGCCAGCGTCACCTCCGACAACTGGTCGAAACAGCTGCAGTTTGCCGCCGATCTTGTGAAGCTCTTCAACCTGGGCGACACTGGGTTCCAGTTCGGTGCTGCTTCCTACGGCTACACTGGGGATAAACTCTTCGACCTCAACAAATTTCAAGACGCCGCTGCGATAGAAAAGGTGATTTCATGTGGTGTATAACTCTCTCTTAATGCTGAACATACAATAGAGATCACACACATATACAGATATAATATATTTTAAACAATATTCGATTTTTAGGGAAAAATGTAAATAAGACTCATAAAAAATACCTAGGCGTGATTTACTTCATCTAGTTTGTAATACAACTGAACCGCCTACACAGTCTTGTTATTACAATTAAAATGTTTTACGAAATTGCAGGATTTGGATCCAGAAAATAAGTCCTAATTTTTTTATTATATTTGAATACTCATGTTAGTTTATATATTTTACATAATTGAACATGAGTAGCTATTTTATATTTCATTTAGTCAGAGTTTAAAATTAAGCTATACGATTGATATAAGCTATACGATTGATACGGCTGTCAATAATGTCAATGATGTGAGATAGAACTAACAAATCGATCATGAAAATCCCCCCGTACATATATATTTAATAAAATGTTGATTCCATTTAAAGGCATTGAAAGGCGCCAGGTACCAGAATGCCCAGTCCTACGCACACAAGGGCCTGAACTTGATCACAAAGAGAAACATCTTCTGTACCGCCGCAGGTGCCAGGGCCCCTGCTCAGAAAGTCATCGTTCTCTTCACTGACGGGGTGTCAACCGACAGTTCAAAAAGTAAGGTCTTTAACTATCGAGCCTTCAAACATATTTTAACACAGTAATAGTCAATTTTAATTGACGTTTAAGGACACTCAACGAAAAAATGTATTGATACTAAGATCGTTTCAATTTTAACGATCCAATTTTAAAAGCAAAACAAAAATAAATAAATAAATAAAATCTAGTTAAATATTTGAAGTAAAAGAGTATTAATAGAATGGGTGCTTTAACACTAGTAGTATTTATGTGTTTTATAACCAGACCTAAAATGCAGACAGCGTAAAGGCTTAGCTTATTTAAGACATCATGAGTTAAATATTACTGCAGCCATTGGGTAAATCTGTAAATTATTTCAGCCATCTTGGAGGCTACCAAGCTAAAGCTGCTGGGAGTACGTATCATCACCGTGGCTGTCGGCAATGAAGTCTCCCCCCAGGAGCTGGCTGCCATATCTAAGCCGTCAGACACCTTCAAGGCGTTTAGTTTCAATACTTTGGAGTTCGTCAAGAAAGATTTGGTCGATGTCTTGTGCAGTAAGTAGAAAACAGCCGATTTTGTTCAGTAGTCATTTGCTTTGAACCTATTTGAACCTAATTTAATTAGTTTTATAAAATAAAAGTGCCTTTATTTAATTTTTTAAAATCTTTTACGTGTATATATTTAATTTGTCGTCCATTGCTTATCCTAAATGACATTAGTTGAATTGTGAGTACAGCTGTACATTATTTCCTTTTATTTCAGATTGAAGGATCGAATGATGAAAAACTACAAATGTAATTTTCTCTATTATTTTTAGTGCTCTGTTAAACTAACATTAATAAATTTTAACTTAATGTTAAAATATTACGCTTTAAAAATTCTATTTTAAATATTTGTATGAAATTTGTGTAAATTCCAAAAAAAAACCGTGTGTCAAGAATAACTATTGAAACCACTTATAACTTTAACATATGTGTCTTAAAAATGATGAATATCTGCACTTGACTTTGTTTTCTTTGATTTTCTTGTTTGTTGTGTCCTAATGTATTGGATTTAAGATGTGTTTTTAATGTTTATTCATAGTTTTACAAAACGTGTGTTAGAGATTTTCAATTAAATTTACGCATTTACCGCAAATTATGTAATGTAACAGGTGATGGTATCTTGGTTTAATAAATACCAGTATAATCGTTTCAACAAATACAAAGTTCTGAGTGTAAGAGGTGTGTATACCGTCTTTCACCCTTTAACTTTGAGCATAGTTTCCCCCTAGTCTTTTGAAGTTGAAAGTAACATTTTTAATTAGTAGACATTAATCATTTTAATAACAAATCCTAAAATGCAACGAACTAAAAAAATATGGAACTGGTTGCATTAAAAGTAAATTTACCAATGCAAATAAAGGAAGTTGTAATATAAAATATAGCAAATTAACTAAAGATTTAGTAAATAGTTAGACTGCAAGAAATTTAGTATAATTTTGAATATAAAAGGGAAATAATTGTAAATATATTTGAGTTTTGGTATTTTTGAGTTCATTCCTTTGAACAGATCGTAAGTGCAACACTGTCAGAAGATGAAACAAAATATAACCACTAGCTTTGTAGCAAAGTAGACTGCCAGGTGTAACTTGTTCTAAAGAATTATTAAATTATTTCATGATCTGTGTTATAAAATATTCAATCATGCTTTAGTTAGCGCCAGTGAGGATGGTAACTAATGCTAGTTTAGGCGTTGTCTAGTGCTAGTGGAGGCGTGGACCTGCCAATGGAGGCGTGGACTAGTGCCGGTGGAGGAGTGGACTAGTGCTAGTGGAGGAGTGGACTAGTGCTAGTGGAGGAGTGGACTAGTGCTAGTGGAGGAGTGGACTATTGCTAGTGGAGGAGTGGACTATTGCTAGTGGAGGAGTGGACTATCGCTAGTGGAGGGTTGGACCTGCCAATGGAGGCGTGGACTAGTGCCGGTGGAGGCGTGGACTAATGCCAGAGAAGGGGACTAGTGCTAGTGGAAGAGTGGACTAGTGCTAGTGGAGGAGTGGACTATTGCTAGTGGAGGAGTGGACTATCGCTAGTGGAGGGTTGGACCTGCCGGTGGAGGCGTGGACTAATGCCAGAGAAGGGGACTAGTGCTAGTGGAAGAGTGGACTAGTGCCAGTGGAGGCGTGATCCAGTACTAATATAGGCACTGTCCGTTGCTAATGGAGGCGTCGACCAGAATTTGAAGAGACGTGTGCTGGTGCTAGGGGAGGTATGGACTAGTGCTAGGGAAGATGCGGACTAGTACTAATGGAAGCGTAGACTATGAGTTCAAGAAGAGGCGTGGTCTAGTGCTAGGTGTTCACGAGTTCTAGGTGAAGTTGTCATCGACAAGAGCCTGCATATAGAAATATAAAACACGTACAGTGTTATTTGAACGTTAATTTTTCATATGCCGAAGTCCCTGAAACTCTACTTCATTTGCCCCTTGTGTCTTGAGTATTCTATTTATGACGTTCACAAGGGGGGGTGTGTTCATATGGACGTCCACAAATAATAAAGCCTTATCAGTAAATATGTACACAATATATGTTACTGAAATTGGTAGTAAGTTTTGAGAGATCTCTTAAAATGTTTGGGGACGTCCACAATGGGGGGGGGGGATACGTTCGAAAGTGGACACGTGTGGACGGGTGAGTAGGGGCGAGGGTTGCTGAAATCTGAAATTTTTGTGGATGTCATAAATGGATGACTCCGAACGGGAAAGATGATGATAATAGTAAGATAGTTTAAAACTATTATAAAATAAATGACGTACATTTTATAGCCAAATCGCATCAGAATGAATGAGTGACGCTAAATCATTGACTTGTAACAAAAACACAAGCAGTTAAAAAACCCGAACCCGTTTCCCAACGCACAGGTGTGATTGGAGCCTCAATGCACAAAACACCAACAGACCTCGCGGGGGACAAAAGCCGGCTACACGGGCGTCATGTGACCGCTTTAAAATAGCCACGTGCTACTATTTATAGAGCAGCCCTGGCAGCCCTATTGATTTATTCTTTTATTAGATCGTTTTTTTTTTTAGAACCGAAGCAATAGCTGTTTGTCTGTATTGAAACATTCAAACGTAACCGAATAAAAAAAAAGTTCAACACAGATTAACGTGCATACAGGTGTGTTTGTGTGCGTCAGTAAACACTACTATGCTATCTAAAAATGTTGCTATAATCATCTAAATAACAGATCTCCATTTAGACCTGATCGACCCTGAGGTAGCTTAGTCTTCTGGTCCATTTGTTAAACTAAAATACGGGGGTCCTTCTGTCTCTTTCATAAGTTACACCAAAGTATGGTATTCAATGAAGATCAAAGCGTGTTAAGGGCACGACACCATACATTGAAACTCAAGCGTGTAATTATATCGTCGGCACTTCCACTGGTAGACGTATGGAAATAAAAGAAAAAAATGTGAATAGCGTCTTGTAGTGTCAGAAATTAAACTATCACAGGTGCATGTTGTCGTGATTTTAAAATATAAATTGCGTCGACAGGTTGCTGAATATTATTTGAGTGCTTATAATTTAGATGGTGTATTGTAAAATTATCCAGGTTCGGAAGATTACATTCTAACGAAGGTAAATATAAATATTAATCTAGACTTGAAATTATATGTTATCAATAATTTATTCTTGTTTCTAAAATATTGGTTTCTTTTTTGTTTTATTTCATCTGAACTTAGAGACATTTCTCCTTAACTTTCCTATGGTTGAATTACAGGCTGTTTGTCGCTGTAATGTTGTGGTACTGTTTGAAAATATCTGGCCTTTTTCGAGCGGTCTCTGACATTTGTATCGCGCTGTGCTGTGTATGATATTTATTATGGTCGGAATATGCTTGCCATTTGTAACGACTGTGTATGACATTTGTGTTGTACTATGTATGACATGTCTGTCGCTCTGTATATGACATTTATGTCGGACTGGTAATGATCATCTGTGTTGGAAAGTGTATGATATTTGACATGGTCGGAGTGTGCATGACATTCGTTATCGCATCATCGCCTGACTATGTATGGTATTTGTCATCATCTGACTGTGTATGACATATGTGTCTGACTATGTATAACATTTATGTCTGTTTATGGCGTTTGTCATAGTCGGAGTTTGTATGACATATGTGTCGGTCTGTGTATGATGTACGCTGACGGGAACTGGCATTACCCCCCGTCAATTACCCTCCCCCCGGACATCCCCCGACATTATCCCCCGGAGTAATTACCACCGCTCAATAGGACATTACCCCCCCCACCCACGGACTTTGCTTATGGGCAGCTAGGGTTAAGGTTAAGGTTAAGGTTAAGGTTAAGGTTAAGGTTAAGGTTAAGGTTAAGGTTAAGGTTAAGGTTAAGGTTAAGGTTAAGGTTAAGGTTAAGGTTAAGGTTAAGGTTAAGGTTAAGGTTAAGGTTAAGGTTAAGGTTAAGGTTAAGGTTAAGGTTAAGGTTAAGGTTAAGGTTAAGGTTAAGGTTAAGGTTAAGGTTAAGGTTAAGGTTAAGGTTAAGGTTAAGGTTAAGGTTAAGGTTAAGGTTAAGGTTAAGGTTAAGGTTAAGGTTAAGGTTAAGGTTAAGGTTAAGGTTAAGGTTAAGGTTAAGGTTAAGGTTAAGGTTAAGGTTAAGGTTAAGGTTAAGGTTAAGGTTAAGGTTAAGGTTAAGGTTAAGGTTAAGGTTAAGGTTAAGGTTAAGGTTAAGGTTAAGGTTAAGGTTAAGGTTAAGGTTAAGGTTAAGGTTAAGGTTAAGGTTAAGGTTAAGGTTAAGGTTAAGGTTAAGGTTAAGGTTAAGGTTAAGGTTAAGGTTAAGGTTAAGGTTAAGGTTAAGGTTAAGGTTAAGGTTAAGGTTAAGGTTAAGGTTAAGGTTAAGGTTAAGGTTAAGGTTAAGGTTAAGGTTAAGGTTAAGGTTAAGGTTAAGGTTAAGGTTAAGGTTAAGGTTAAGGTTAAGGTTAAGGTTAAGGTTAAGGTTAAGGTTAAGGTTAAGGTTAAGGTTAAGGTTAAGGTTAAGGTTAAGGTTAAGGTTAAGGTTAAGGTTAAGGTTAAGGTTAAGGTTAAGGTTAAGGTTAAGGTTAAGGTTAAGGTTAAGGTTAAGGTTAAGGTTAAGGTTAAGGTTAAGGTTAAGGTTGAGGTTGAGGTTGAGGTTGAGGTTGAGGTTGAGGTTGAGGTTGAGGTTGAGGTTGAGGTTGAGGTCGAGGTCGAGGTCGAGGTTGAGGTCGAGGTTGAGGTTGAGGTTGAGGTTGAGGGTGAGGGTGAGGGTGAGGGTGAGGTTGAGTTGACGTTGACGTTGACGTTGACGTTGACGTTGACGTTGAGGTTTTGGGTTATGGTTATGGGGGGTAAAAACAGGCGGAAAATGTCCTGTTTGTAATTGACGATGGGGCTAATGTCCTTTAGCCCTCACGATCATTGTAAAACGCATGCTGACATTTGTTTTGTATGAAGCACGCTGTCATTGTCATGGTTGGACTAGCGTCGAGTCATTACCGAGGGCTTGCTCAACCGCGGCGATTAAATACTCATTTAATGGAATCAGAGCCAGTTAATGGTGTGGGTGCTTTCATGCGTTCAATTCGCGCCATTCATGTGAAACTACAATTTGTTTTTGCAGTTTGATTTGTATATAAGCCTGTGATTCCTGTTGAAAAACAATTCTAAACAAAGTCGTGTTTTATTTTTTTATTTATTTTTTTTTGTAATTTTTTTTTGTTGTTTACCATGTTTAAAGCTTAAAGTCGTGTCCCGCGTTGATTTGCATGATTAAACGAGACCGTAGTCTCATGTATAAAACATCCGTGCATGCTGTCCAGAAAATAATACTCACAGCAAGCAAATGCACGTGAATATTTCATGATCGGTTCCATGGTCGTTAGACCGTCACGGTTGGTTTGTGTTCTTCAGTTCCGTTTATGTTTTTTTGTCTTGGCTATGTTGAAACACTTTAAAAAAATGTTTTTTTGATAATTCTAGGCTAAAAACTGCCAAATGTAACAACGTATTTCTTGTATTTCTATGCTATAAACTGACATTTCTAAACCCAAATAGTTTATATGTTTACATGTGCAAAATTATTCACATAGGTTTTTTTTTTTTGGAATCCGAACTTTTCTGTTTTGTGTAAATTAGTAATATTTAAAGTCAGAGGGTTGACAGTTCATTTTCTTATTTTGACCACATTTCAACCTAAGTATTTTTTAAAAATGTATTACCTTCACCACCATACCAGTATTAATATGCATTCAAAAACATAAACGTTTCACAAATCAGTAGAATAGATACATGTTTTAGTGCTTTGTGTTTAACAAGTATCTATTTAGCAAATTTAGATTAAGCCATCAATGTAGACCAAAATAGCTTCACCTATTTTGTTTTTATAAACATGAGTAATCTGCCCTATACATTAAAAAATATTCTTATATAACACCACGGGGGCTGGCAACTCGGGATATAAACATGATTTTAAATCAATGTTTAATTACTTAAACTTTTTAAAATAGAATATAATCTCGTAGAAAAAAGAATTTTGCTCCAAGTGAACGGCAAAGAATTTGTGTATAATGCAGAATATAATTAGCATTTTATAAATTCACATGCGTTTTTTTGGGAAATTGGAAATAGCGTACATTACTACTTCCTGTTCAACGAAAATTATTCAAAATGTGTCGGAAGGCAGAAAATTATATCTTTTACTTATATTTGAATATATATATATATATATATATATATATATATATATATATATATATATATATATATATATATATATATCTGAATCAGTACTCAGTACTCAAGTTAACTAAAAGTAGAATAAGTTCCATTTCTAGTTATTGGAAATTGTCCAGAAGTTGATACAGAACTATAAATTTGATATAATACTTGTATATGAAATTTCATCAACCCAGCTATAACGGTACTCAAGTTATCGTGTTCACACACATACACACACATATACACATACACATACATAGATACACACATAGACATACGGACAAAATTAAAAAACTATGTTTTTCAAACTCGTAGACGGGTACTCGTCGAGATTTGTAAAATTCTCGATTTCGATTGTTTGCACAATTACAATACTTCCTCTTTACTTCGTTTACAAAAACAAATGTATCTATAAATATTTGATATGTTTGTTTTTTGCCGGGTGATGTTGTTTTAATTTCTACCAACTTTTTTTTGTCTTCGAGTCATTGATTCGATAGTGCAGGAATAAATCAATACCTACGTTACATCAACGCCTTTAGAAAACATTCTACCCCCTTAATGGAATCGGATACGACTCGATATAGGGGTAGCAAACATCAAAACTTTGACTGACGGGCTGATTGCAATTAATTTGTAATTGGTCAACGTAAGCTAGCGGCTAATGGTCTCATGAGGGACAAGGTGGTTTCAAATAAACTGGAACGTTTTTTTTTCCCCAGTGCAACCGAAGGATCATAGACGTTTTAATGTATCTATAAACTAAATGTGGTTTAATTTGAGTCTTTAAAAGACCGGTCATGTGGAACATCTAACTGAATTGCAGTTATCTGGTTGGGTGACGCAGGGTAGCTCAACAACTAGATTGGTTTATGCGTATAGTGGTATAACGACACAGAACCACAATACCGGAGACTCTACAAACTGATCTATGTATGCTCTACAAACTGATCTATGTATGCTTGACGTGGTATAACGAGATAGAATACATCAACATATATTCTACAACTGGAACAATCTGTGCGTGGAGTGGTATAACAATACAGAACCACTACAACATATATTCTACAACTGGAACAATCTGTGTGTGGAGTGGCATAACGAGATAGAAGCAGAACAAAAGCGATGCTATGTGGCTAGGATAGTTAAGCTACTGAAGGAATTATTTGAACGCTGCGTGTTATAACGAGATAGAAACACAAGAGCAGAGATGTTGGAGCTCAAACAGATGTTTAAAGCCAACGAGGTTTTTACAATTATCTCGAATTTTAACATTTGTTTGTGTGCAGCTGTACCTATATACTCGAATTTATCTGTGTAGCTAAATTACTCCGTCTCAATTTGGTGATCGCTACTAATTCTTGTATCTCATGTTGTTGGAAATCAATTTAGTTAAAAAGTAACTACGTATGAAGTTATAAAAAAGGGACATAAGAAGTTATAAAAATATTAGGGAATATTATAATTTGCTAAATGTATGTGTAGTGTAGATGATTATTTGTAGGAGCTTATATGATACAAACATACAAAAAAAGGTTGATTTATTCATTTTAATATGATCAATCAGAGTAAACTCAATAACAAGTTTCTCAAATGTGTTAAACATTTTATCTAACACATATTTTTAAATACATTTTATGACTCAAGAAGATATAACATTTTCAACATTATAAAAAAATTTGTGTATCATTGGGATAGTTTGTCATTTGGTATCAAAAGGAAGGTTCGTCATATGGTATCAGAAGGAATGTTTGTCAATGGGTATCAGAAGGAAGGTTTGTCATTTGGTATTCGGAGAAAGGTTTGTCATTTGGTATCAGAAGGAAGGTTTGTCATTTGGTATCAGAAGGAAGGTTTGTCATTTGGTATTCGGAGAAAGGTTTGTCATTTGGTATCAAAAGGAAGGTTCGTCATATGGTATCAGAAGGAAGGTTTGTCATTTGGTATCAGAAGGAAGGTTTGTCATTTGGTATTCGGAGAAAGGTTTGTCACTTGGTATCAGAAGGAAGGTTTGTCATTTGGTATCAGAAGGAAGGTTTGTCATTTGGTATCAGAAGGAAGGTATCATTGGGATAGTTTGTAATTTGGTATAAGATAGAAAGTTTGTTATTTGGTGTCAGAAGGTAAGTTTGTATTTGGAATCACAAGGAAAGTTTATTATGTGGTATCAAGTTAGTGCATAATTTACCTTCAACACAACACAACACAACCTATTTCAGGATCATCATTTAGTTAACTGGTTATTTAGTTGTAAAGATTTTACACGTAGCTTTTACACGTCTACATACATTTAACGATACATTTAGATCAATAGCTATGCGTTTCATGAAAAATTCGTTCCCGTGAATGCAAATTGCGTCTGCAATCATATACATTATTCGCACAAAATCTTCGGTTCATTGTTTACTTTAAGATAAATGATGTGAAACTTCACACCATTAAATGTTTATTAATATTCTGCTCACGATAATATCTTGCCGATCATAGTTAGACTGGTTTAATCCTTCGATAGTTCGTACAGATAGACTTATTAACCTCAGACAAATCGGATCATATTCATACGTATTTAAACTACAGACAATTCGGATTATACAGTTAGACTTTTTTAAACTACAGACAATTCGGATTATACAGTTAGACTTATTTAAACTACAGACAATTCGGATTATATAGTTGACTTATTTAAACTACAGACAATTCGGATTATACAGTTAGACTTATTTAAACTACAGACAATTCGGATTATATAGTTAGACTTATTTAAACTACAGACAATTCGGATTATACATTTTTGCTTATGTATATCTTCCACGGATCTGAACATTCAGTTAAACAAATGTAAACCCACCACAGACGATAAAATTAGACTTATGTAAACTTTGTACAGAACATTCCGTTAGACATGTATAAACATTCTTCAGAACATATAGCTAGATATATGTAAAACTTTTACATTTCATACCGTTAGTCTAATTTAAACCTTCCACAGAGCCACCCTACCAGAATGAAACGCGGGGACTTTGAAAAGTCCATGCAAGAGAAATCATCCTCGGCTGGTCTAATTAAAATATTCTCCAAATTTGCGGACAAAACCTCATTAAACGGCATACCATTCATCAACTCGACACACAATTTGTTGGTCAAGGCCGTCTGGTCATGTCTACTAGCTGTAGCCATTGGGGCTATGTTTTTTCATCTGTACAAGTATGATCTGCATCTCTTTCACATTAGCTTTACCTCTAGTTAAACTCAGATATCATCGTACTAAAACTTGTCCTCATTAGTATTTCACACATTTAGAAAACAGATTAGGCTTAAACAAATGAACATAATTAATACCACCTATTTTCGTTAAGATTCGTTAAGCTTTTATAAATAAAAAATGTATGAATAAAAATCGATTTAAAATTAGTTAGAACAGATGGTAATTTACAGACAGTCTAGCCACTGCTTGTTGTTGCAGCCTCTTCATAACGTATCTGTCCTTCGGAAAGCATTCACAAATAAGCCTGGGTTTTAGCACCTTAGATTTTCCGGCTGTCACCATCTGTAACGTCAACATGATGCGGTTGTCCCAGGTAAGATTTTAAAAAATTTAGCTGCACGTTCTTAAGTAACTGGAACACTGCCCACCCCCACTTGTCCCATATCTTAGTGTACTCACTTGAGAAGTCCATTCCACCACACAGCATACCGATGGTATTAGCTATGTGATGCCGTATCTCACTCTATGGATATCCGGGCATTTACCATGATGATTCCCTATATCCACCTGCGCACACTGGCTTAGGAATATAAACTCGCAACACACAACAAACTAGTTTGATTCATCATGTTGTGCCCCTCATGCATAAATTAAAAGCTTTAACACGTAAAACACATATATGAACGAAATGATTAAAAATATCAGCAGTTACAAAAGCAACTGTTCTTGTTTCTCAATTATAAGTAAAAAGAAAAAACTGCTCTTTTTCTGTTAGTTCCCGATAACACGTTTTATAATTACTTCAATTGTTGTAAACAGTCATCACCTCGTAAAAAAAATACAACCTTTTTTTGTTTCCAGAAAAAATCAGCCTCCCGTGAGATTCAAGAGCTGATTGAGAAAGTCAGCCCTGATAAAATGATGCAACAGGCCAAACAGTGGAAACCTACCTACGTGGATCAAGACAACACGACACGGAGAAAAAGGCAAACGCCTGCCTCAACGTCCAATAGGTCCGTTCAATGTTAATAATTATTGTGTTTTGTTTTGGTCTGTATAACACAAACAGTTAGTAAACCCCACTATCCAGAGACAGTCTTACAGAATTTATACTAATTACCGAAGCCAAAACAAAAGCACGTTGAAATATAAATGCAATACGTCAGTCAGATAAACATCAGATCAATGCTGCATTATGGCTGAGTTTAGAACTTTGTTTTTAACTCTTTGTCTACTGATGGTACTTATAAGTACCACTTTAATGTAGTGCCTAAGTTGAATTTTTAAAATTATTTGTATAATTAATAGTATTGTCTCCCCTGAGTCACTGGTTTTTGGTTGGATCGACGTTTTTTTACTTTCTCGTATATACGAAGTATAGAGAAAGTACTGTAATCGTGCACACAAAAAAAACATGAAATTTTGACAGTTTTACCGTTTTACTCCTCAGTCCTTCATCACATTTGGAGTATAGAGGACTTATTTTAATCAGGCGAAAATTGTAAAAACAAATAAATAAACGTTTTGGCGTTTTATGCGTTATCGAGTCGTAAAAACTGGACTTTGCAATTCTGTCCGTATGTCTGTGTGTCTGTGTGTATGTCTGTGTGTAAACACGATAACTTGAGTACCGTTACAGCTAGGTTGATGAAATTTCATATATAAATATTTCATCAAAATCGTAGATCCTGATCAACTTTTCAGCAATTTCCGATAACCGGAAGTGGTACTTTTTCTACTTTGAATTTTTCAAAAGCCTATAAGTTGCGTACTATTTTAGGTAGATGCATGAAATTTCACATGTAAGTAGAAGATCTAATTTTCTACCTTCTGTCAAATTTTGAGTAATTTCCGTTCACCGGAAGTACTAATTTACGCTATTTCCGATTTCTCAAAAAACGCATGTAAATTTATAAAGTACTAATAATATCCCGCACTTTTATACACATTTTATCAGGCGTTCACTTGGTGTGGGACGGAGTGGTCTAGCGGTAGAGAGCTGGACTGCTAACCCATTCGTCTCGAGTTCGAATCCGAGTTCAAGTCAGTAGACCGTCCCTGAGTCCACCCAACTCTGATGGGTACCTAACTCCTGTTAAGGAAAGTAAAGGCGGCTGGGCATAGTGCTGACCACACTATCTCTTCATATGCCGAGGTCACAGAAACAAGTGAACTCTACTTCACTTGCCCCATAGACCGTCAGGTTTGAAAGGGAAACTTTTCACTTGGTGTGCAATTCTTTTTTTTTACGAGATTCTATTCTATTATAAAAAGTTTAAGTAATTAAAAATGAATAACAAATATTGTCTATGTCCTGAGTTGCCATCCTTCGTAATTTTATATTAGAATATTCGAGAAAGTTTAGGGTAGATCACTCCCGGTTTATTTTTTAAATTGCCGATGCGGCGCTATTTTCAATCTCTTCCTGTATCGGTAGCCCACAATTGTGCAGTACAGGTCTCATAAGTGTTCTTAATTTCTCTTCGTTTTACCTTAATATTCAAGTTTTCAAGACCAAATTATTTTTATTGTGTTTAACTTCTATTTATTTAATTTTAGTGAAATTGTCTTTGTGTTAGATCAATGTTTACATGGGTACTTAGTAGTGCAATCAGGCCACATGGTCATGTTTTTTATGATTTTTTGGAAATGTCACATTTTCGACATGGAGTGACATAAAATTATTTTGATAGTAAATGATCGAAATGTACTCAAAAATGATATAAAAAGAAGGTTAGCATATGGTTTACCTAACAAATATTGTGAATAAATATAGATTTAAAGTAGAAAGAGAATAACAAGATTAAAGATATAACATGCAGGTTAGTTTAATAGGTTTAGTAAAGTTTAGTTGTATTCCTAAGTCTAGTTCTAGTAGTAAGATTTGTTAGTTATATTTGTTGCAGAAAATTGTCTTGCATACAATAACTAGTTTGTATGTAATGTATACATGTAGACTAGTAATAGTCCACACTTCTAGATATAATAAATACAAATGATAGCTACATATAATATGTATCTTATGGTAAATTTTTATCAGTAGACATAAAACTGTGACCACTAAGACTATTCTAAACACATGGAGCTCACTTATATTTATGAATGTTACACGGTAGTGCAGGACTGCCATAACATTCTAGTAGGCAACAATCATACTAGTATTACTAGTAGTAGTGTACTGAATGACTAAAATATTTTGTTTTTGCGGCTCAATGTAATTTCTATTGGAAGCTTCAAGCAAAAGCAGGATAGGCCCAGCGACTTTTACCACACTAGAAAGACCACAGGCAAGAATGTATCACTTAGGAATAAAGGATTAGAACATGGCACCTTTTTCTGTGTTTGGTACAGTCAGGAGAAGGTCTAATATGTGTTCCCATAGAAAATACAGTCTGAAACCATACTCAAAATATACTTCTACGAGAAAAATGGCCCGTTGAGGAAGGATACACCGGGCGCTAGGTTGATAGTGCTGTCTCTTTTCTCAAAACTAAAACCAACCCACCCCCCCCACACACACCACCCCCCACCCCCACCCCTCCCACCCCCACCCACCCCACACACCACCCCCCAACCCCCCCCCCACCCCCACCCCCACCCCCCCCACCCCCACCCCCCAAAAAACATGTCTACCGTCCCATTCAACGAAATATAATTATATACTTTTTCCAGTGTCCGCCCCCTCCCCGAAAATTCTACCCCCGCCCCCGAAAATTTCAAGTACCCCCACCCCTCTCCGGGGAGGAAAAAGTCTGAAAGAAACACTGGTGTCGCGCTTAGCCACTACGCGAAGAATTGCATTAAAGAAATTGCAAGAAAACCACTTTTTAGATTAGACACATTAATTAGGCGGTAATTTTATTATAGAGTATCGATGAAGAAATTTCTTTTGAGTTGGGGAGGGGGGGGGGGGCTCAGACGTTCTTACGCGTGGGGTGGGGCTTCGCCCCTACCCGAAGAATTGTATGCAAGAAACTCTTCACGCAAACCATTTAGATTAGACAACATTTCCTTTTTATTCAATGTTTACGCGATAATCAATGACGTCATTATATTACTGTGTGCACTTTCCGCCTTGAGATTATTTTCAACTCTATGCTAAATGTGTTGACGTCATACTTCGTTTTTCGAATTACTATGCAGGTTTTTAATTTGCTTGTGTTTTCTCTAGAGCGTTCTTGTCAGATAGACAGACAGAGCGTTCTTGTCAGATAGATACACAGACAGCGAAACTATTATTATAGAAATACGAGAAAAATGGCCCGTTGAGGAAGGGTACAACGGGCGCTAGGCTGATAGTGCTGTCTCTTTTCTCTAAACTAAAACCAACCCACCCCCACCCCCACACACCACCCCCACCCCCACCCCCCCACCCCCCACCACCCCCACCCCCCACACACACCACCCCTCCACACACCGCCCCCCCACCCCCCAACCCCTCCAGCCCCCCCTCCACCCCCCCCCCCCCCCCCAAAAAAAAAACATGTCTACCGTCCCATTCAACGAAATATAATTATATACTTTTTCCAGTGTCCGCCCCCTCCCAGAAAATTCTACCCCCGCCCCCGAAAATTTCAAGTACCCCCACCCCTCTCCGGGGAGGAAAAAGTCTGAAAGAAACACTGAAACCAACCCACCCCCCCCCCACACACCACCCCCCACCCCCACACCCCCCCCCCCCACACACACACCACCCCCCCCCCCCCAAAAAAAAAACATGTCTACCGTCCCATTGCAAGAAAACCACTTTTTAGATTAGACACATTAATTAGGCGGTAATTTTATTATAGAGTATCGATGAGGAAATTTCTTTTGAGTTAGGGAGGGGGGGGGCCTCAGACGTTCTTACGCGTGGGGTGGGGCTTCGCCCCTACCCGAAGAATTGTATGCAAGAAACTCTTCACGCAAACCATTTAGATTAGACAACATTTCCTTTTTATTCAATGTTTACGCGATAATCAATGACGTCATTATATTACTGTGTGCACTTTCCGCCTTGAGATTATTTTCAACTCATTGCTAAATGTGTCGACGTCATACTTCGTTTTTCGAATTACTATGCAGGTTTTTAATTTGCTTGTGTTTTCTCTAGAGCGTTCTTGTCAGATAGACAGACAGAGCGTTCTTGTCAGATAGATACACAGACAGCGAAACTATTAGTATTAATTGTGTTTAAGAGTGAAAATTTAAAAAAAAAATTAAGATTATAATGATTGCCATGATTTTACTTAATTTTACAGTTAATTCATATTTTGCATTATTGTTTTATTTTTTGAGAAAAATGTCCTACGTTCTTAATGGTACTTGTAAGTACCAATATATAATTTGGGCCATTAAAAATTAACGAAACTAAATTTTCTTCAACATATGCTTTAAGTGTGCCAAAAGCAATATATACACCTAGCTTGAGACCAACTTTTATTTAGAACTTAATTCCGTAAATAATGATGTGGAGAATGAGAATGAGAACCGCAATAAAATGCAACGTCAGAAGATTAGAGCTCTGAGCAAAACTTCATATATTGTAAGAAGCTAAATGTTATCAGCTAAACATTACAAAATTTGAACAAAGTTATTATTCTAATCTAAACTTCATGTTAACGAAACAGCCAAGCTCTGTGGCATACGTAACTAATATATGTGTTATGTGGTGTACTTCTGTAGGTTGACAAATGATTTGTTTAAATTTTCGAGCTTCTAGTATTTTTTATTTGTAGCATCATTGAATTAAATCCTATTCGCATCCTGCCTCCAGCACTTCATCATCCAAAATGCGATCCACAAACTTTTTAGACGACTTTAACATGGATTCCAACATGACGTACCTCAGAAGTTGCGCACAGAACACATTTTATGCCAAGGTATGCTTAATGCTATATTAGACATACTAATAAGATGTTGCTATGTTACCGGCTGGGCTACTGTAGATTCGACATTCTCACTCGTTTAAAGCAACCTTTTGCTTTACTTTACTGTCACAAACATGTGGGACGTATATCAATAATATACCATGACATGTTTCTCTCATATAGACATGTGTATAAGTGTAAAACTACAGAGTTTTTCACATCAATAATATACCTTGACATGTTTCTCTCATATCACCATGTGTAGATATGTGTAACTACAGAGTTTTTTTCACATCAGTATTGTAGCTTGTCATGTTTCTCTCATATCACCATGTTTAGATGTGTGATGACTGCTGGGAAGGAGAGTCAGAGAGCTCTACATTGTACCAAAATGAAGAGCAGTTTCGGGATCTTTTCAGTTTTCAGAATAAGTAAGTAGCCTATTGTTCAGTATCTTCCATATCTGCTTGTAGTCGTTCGAGTTTAGTAGTTTTTTTTTATCACCTGAGCACTACGAGACGTGTGATTGATAGTTTGGCTGTCTTCTGCCGTTATGTAATGTCTCGTGTGTGCTACAGGTCAATACGTTCAGCCCTTGGTCATCAGATACAAGACATGATGCTGCAGTGTTCGTTTGCTGGCCGGAAATGCGTGCAGAGGTGAGTCAATATAACTACATGATGGTACTCACAAGCGTTTGTAACAGACAGTTTCAAATAAAACAGGATACGCTCAACTTTAAAGACGAACAGCAAGATGTATGAAAACAGTAGCATTAATCAACACTAATTCCAATAAAGGCCCTTATGTTCAATCAATAACAATAATAGTACTTTTTGTTATTAAATCAATCAAAATCTGGTAACACTGTAGTTAGATTAGATACTTAGAGAATGTGTACTGTGTTGATCACATAACTTTTAAAATACAAGCAGGCTATTTATAAAACGTATTTCTTTGTTTCATTCAACTACCTACCTGTCATTTAGTTAGACACACTTAACTGGTTTTACCAAATGCAGTAGAATGTTTACATGGACATCTAGGCTCCACCTATCGTAAGTCGGAGTTATCTCCCTTCACATGCAACATCAAATTAATGTTTGAAGCAATGAACGCTAATTACTTAGGCTACCCAAATAGTAATTTTATTGGATATTTCGTACTTATTATTTCTCAATATAGGTGATACTATTAAGATAATATAATTTGTTTTCTTTATAAAAAATAATCATTGTAATCAATAAGTCTCACTTAATTAGACACGATTATACATTTTAAATTTCTCGTACACAGAGTAGGCCGGCCTATAGAGGAAGTACTGTAATCGTGCAAACAATGACATGAAATTTTGAAAATTTTCACAGTTTTACTTCTCAGTACTTCACTATATATGGAGTATATGGGATTTATTTTTATCGTGAAAACACTCTAAATCAAGATGTATCAAATGTCGGCGTTTTACCGGTAATTGAGTCGAAAAAACTGTGCATTGCAATTATGTTAGTGTGCGCATGTGTGTATGTCTGTGAACAGGATAACTTGAGTACAGTTACAGCTAGGTTGATGAAATTTCATATATAAGTATTACATCAAATGTGTAGTTCCGTCTCAACCTCTGAGCAATTTCCGGTTAACGGAAGTAGAACTTAATTTTTAAAAGACTATATGTTGAGTGCTGTTTAAGATAGATAGACGAAATTCGACAAATAAATACAAGATTAAATTATCTGTCTTCTGACACATTTTAGTAAGTTCCGTGTGTACCAGAAGTAGTACTTTACGTTATTTCTGATTTCTCAAAAAAACGCATGTTAATGTATAAAGTTTTAATGTTCCGCACTGCTATACACACGTTGTTTAGACACTTGATGCACAATTCTGTTTTTTAAGAGATTCTACTATATTTTTAAAAGATTAAGTAATTAAAAATTGTTTTACAATATTGTCTATATCCCGAATCGCCACCCCCCGCAGTGTTGTATAAGAATATTCGAGAAAGTTTAGTTGAGATCACTCCCGCTTTATTTCTAAATCAAGACATTATGTTAACTTTTCCGTCGTAGTTTATCTATTTCTAAATTAAGACAATATTTTCAACTTATCGTTTGCTACAAATTTGTCATAATTTTACCTATTTCATAACTAAAACTAATACGTTTTACCCATACCTTATGCATTATGACATAAAGTGTACGTCATTCTCAATTAAGACGTACTCATCGTCTCTTATACTCCTCACCTTTAACCCCAGCAACTTCACCCAGATACAGTCAGCGGTCTACGGGAATTGCTACACAATCGAGTACGACAAGTTTATAGCCAGGAAAAGTGGCCCTTCTGCAGGTACACACTCAGTAGACAAATTCTCTAGCTTACAAGTAAATATATTACAGCTTAAACACTTTTTTTATCATAAAGCTACAAAATTGATTTTGCACCAAATGTATTCTTATTTTTTATTTTCTATAAAGAATGTATTGCAATCGTTACAAAAATTCGAGATTTAAAAATAAATTCGACGTTTAACACTTCCCTGAGTCGGAAAAACATAGTTTTGCATCTTTTCCCGTATGTCTGTGTGTGTTTGAATGTGTGTGTGAGTGTATGTGTATGTATGTATGTTTGTCTGTGAACACGAAAACTTGAATACCGTTACAGCTAAGTAGATGAAATTTCCTATATAAGTAGTATATCAAATATGTAGTTCTGTATTAATTTCTGAGCAACTTCCGATAACCGGAAATGTAATTAGTCTACTTTTAGTATTTCAAAAGCTTTTAACTTGAGATTCTTTTTTCTAGGAGATTTTATTCTGTTATAAAAAAAGTTTAATTAATTTAAAATGGATTAAAAAGCATGTCTATATCCCGAGTTGCCATCCCCCGTAGTGTTATATAAGAATATTCGAGAAAGATTAGGGGAGATTACTCCCGGTTCATTTTATCCAGGCATGCTGTCAAAGTATCTATGAAACGCCTCTTTGTTTTTGTATTACGTGTCGTACACTGGTCATTAGACAATGTTATTTGGTTAAATATTATGAACTTCCTTCATGGCAATCCAGAACTTTTATTTGTTGACGTACCTTAAGGAATTAGTAGTGACTGCAAAAAGTTATGTGCAATTAATGATACAAAATATAATACTGCTCTTCGGACGAAATTCAGATGCTGTTCTTACGCTGTTCGGATGCGATTTGAATAATTTTTGCATGCTGTTTGAATGTTTTTTGGATGCTGTTTGAATGCAGTTTGGATGCTGTTTAGATGCAGTTTGGACACTGTTAGAATGCTGTTCGGACGCTGTTAGAATGCTGTTTGGTCGCTGTTAAAATGCAGTTTGGACGCTATTAGTATGCTGTTCGGACGCTGTTAGAATGCTGTGCGGACGCTATTCAGACGATGTTCAGACGCTGTTAAAATGCTGTTCAGACGCTGTTAAAATGCTGTTCGGACGCTGTTAGACTGCTGTTTGGACGCTGTTAAAATGTTGTTCGGACGCTGTTAAAATACTGTTCAGACGCTGTTAAAATGCTGTTCGGACGATGTTAGAATGCTGTTCGGACGATGTTAGAATGCTGTGCAGACGCTATTCAGATGCTGTTCGGACGCTGTTAGACTGCTGTTCGGACGCTGTTAGACTGCTGTTCGGACGCTGTTAGAATGCTGTTCGGACGCTGTTAGACTGCTGTTCGGACGCTGTTAGACTGCTGTTCGGACGCTGTTAGAATGCTGTTCGGACGCTGTAAGAATGCTGTTCGGACGCTGTTAGACTGCTGTTCGGACGCTGTTAGACTGCTGTACTTTGAATACTTCCAGGCCTGGAGCTGACCCTCTTCCTTGAGACAAGCGAATACATCCCTGGCATCACCAACGGTAAAGGCCTGCAACTGGTCGTCCACGAGCAGGGCACGGTGCCCTTTCCTGAAGACGAGGGCATCGCTATCAATCCAGGCACACAGACACTCATTGGGTTGAGGATGGTGAGTAGTCACCCTTCTCTTTTTACAGAAAATGGTTGTATAATTCAGTTATTCGCAGTTCGTTGATATTAAAAAAAAAACTCTTTTTTGGAATCAGTCGCATAAACATATTGTTATATTTTTTTTTAAAGTTACTTAATACTTTTCTAAATAATGAAACTAATTCCTCGGGAAAAGCAACAGTCCCGTAAAATACTGATTCCCATATTACATATGTATACAATGATATCTTAGGGTACTCTGTTAAGAATTTCACTAAAACTTTTAACTGTATAGATGTACCAAAGTATTGACAGTGTTGGCAAGCCCATTTCTATATCCTGGTACATTTCTCGCCCAGTTATATGTACATGTTTCACCCAGTGATGAAGTTCTCAGATTAAAAAAACAAACAGAAAGCAAATAATCAAACCACTTAGAAATTTTTAGCTTTGTCACTTAATTTATTCATACAGTTATACACTTAAATGCGCAATAATAATTAGGGATTGGTATATTAGATTTTTTTAGTCGTAATTACAAATAAGTTTAATCCTCACCAAAATTAGCGATGTTTACAACAACGATTATCAAGCAAATGTAGATCTATTAAATACTAGATCTATGTAGGTTAACAACCAATTACCAAATAATGGCGTTGTGTCAATTTTTTCTTGATTCACCTGTAGGTAAAAATAACCCGTCTTGGTGAACCGTACGGACCTTGTATTTCAACGAGCACTTTTGAAGTGAAATACGGGATAAAGTATACAAGAAATGTAAGTTCATTACCATTGCAATTTATAGTTTGATAGAATCAATGGTTAAATACAAGACCATATACAAAATAAACAGGGAGTGATCTCCCCTAAACTTTCTTGAATATTCTTATAAAACACTATGGAGGATGGCAACTCGGGATATAGACATTATTTTTAATCCATTTTTAATTACTTTAACATTTCAACCCTAAACAATATGTGTATAATAGTGCGGAATATTATTAGTACTTTATAAATCCACATCCGCTTTTTTTTGAGAAATCGGAAATAGCTTCAATTACTACTTCCGGTCAACGGAAATAACTCAAAATTTGACAGAGGGCAGAGAATTATACATTTTACTTAGGGTATAATTTCATTTATTTATCTGAAACATTACTCAAGTTATAGGCTTTTGCGAAATTTAAAGTAGAATAAGTACCACTTCCGGTTAACGGAAGTCGCTGAAAAGTTGACACAGATCTACAAATTTAATATAATACTTATAAATGAAATTTCATCTACCTAGCTGTTACGGTACTCAGGTTATCGTGTTCGCACACACACACACACACACAAACAAACACACACACACATACACATACACACACAAACACACAGAGACAAACTGAAACAACTGCAAAAAGTGTGTTTTTCCGACTCATGGAGTGGTAAAACGTCGATATTTGTATAAATCTCGATTTTGTTTTTGCACGATTACAATACATCCTTTATACTTCGTATACGAGTAAGTAAAAATGGATCTAAACAAATGCGTCATTCGTGTAAGCCTGTACCACTTGACCAAGATAGTTGCTACATGTGTAAATCTGTACCATGTGACCACCAGGCCTGCCAACGAATCTGTGAACAACAACAGATTATCGATACATGTCAATGTGTAGACGCCCTCCACCCCCAGTTGATTATCTACATGAACGCCACGAACGTCCAACCCTGCAACAACATCACGCGTGAGTTGATGGGGTGTCTCTTGCCGAACTGGGTTTATTTTGTTGTATTGGCCCAGTACACATTGGGTTAGTTGTGTTTTAGTGGCCCCAATCAGCATGGGATTAATTATATTTTAGTGGCCCAGTAAACATTGGGTTAATGGTGCTTTATTGGTTTCTGAGATAACGAAATATTTTTTTTTTGTGTGACATCGCTAAAAAGGGGTTAATTGGCATGTCTGTTTCTTTTAAAACAAATGATAACTTTCGATTTAGTTAATGATGAGTAAATGTGTTATAATACTAATAGGAAATATCCAGCCCAGGTAAGTCCAGTCCGTTCAGAATATCTACTTTCAATCTAAAAAATTAAGATATAATATGTAAAATTTAAATTACTACGAGATCTACCTAATTTTTAAAAATCTTTCATAGAGGGCTAATAGAAAAAAAAATCTCTGTCCCTAGAAATGATGTGTGTCACAGAGGTCGAGTTCAACTACAACGCTAGTGAGGACAAGTGTGGGTGTGCCAGTCCTTGCAGGTGGGTCGTGTGTCTGCAGGTGGGTCGTGTGTCTGCAGGTGGGTCGTGTATCTGCAGGTGGGTCTTGTGTCTGCAGGTGGGTCGTGTATCTGCAGGTGGGTCTTGTGTCTACTGGTGTGTCGTGTGTCTACAGGTAGTTCTTGTGACTGCAGGTGGGTCTTGTGTCTACAGGTGGGTCGTGTGCCTGCAGGTGGGTCGTGTGTCTACAGGTGGTTCTTGTGACTGCAGGTGGCTCTTGTGTCTGCAGGTGGGTCGTGTGTCTGCAGGTGGGTCGTGTGCCTGCAGGTGGCTCTTGTGTCTGCAGGTGGGTCGTTTGTCTGCAGGTGGGTCGTGTGACTACAGGTGGGTTGTGTGTCTGCAGGTGTCTTTATCTGCATTTAGGTCATGTGTCTGCATGTGTTTAATGTGTTGTTAAAATTATTATAATAACTACCCTTTATTTTACAACAGTGAAAGCCTGTACGAGAAAACGATATCGCCCAGACAATGGCCCAGTCCATCTTTTGCTGTAAGTCAATGTATTCAAGTAATACACGTACATCATACACGTAATATACACAAACATCATACCTGTAATAGACATTATAGAAGTAATAGGCTACACAGATATTATATACGTAATATACTGACATCAAACACGTAATACATAGACATTAATCACGTAATACACATACATCATACAGATAATACACAGACATCACACACCTATGTAGGAAGTTAGAGTTTTGGAATACAGAGAATGAATGAAATGTGTAGCCTGATCTAAATGTCTCTTTCAGTCAATCCTTTTGGAGAGCATTTGTCAAGACAGGTCTCCAGAAACTTGCAGCAAGCTCAGGAACATGTCAGACAATGAATTACTGTAACACCTCTAATTGTTTGATCTTTTTCATACACTGATTATATTTGTACTTATTTTAAAACAATTACATATTCACTCTTCTCCTATAAAGGATTGGCGTGCTCGAGGTGGTGAAGCTCATGGTTGCTAAACCAAAAAGTCTCGAGCCGATCTTCTAAAATCAAACAACTGCTGCCTTGTAGGTTGTTCTTGTTTGGACATAGGCTATGGAAGCAAATCCAAAAAGAAAAGCAGACCTAAAATTGAAGTAAATGATATCAATGGCGCATAACTAGTTGACACGCATACTTCATTGGGTTGGAGAGGATTCCTTTCAACACTAAAATTAAGAACGAAGAAGAAGTTCTCCTATAAAATAATTGTAGCTTAATTTTTGTAAATTGAAAATGTGCTCAATTACTTTTAATCATGCTAGTCGCAAAAATGTGGGTATTGTCTATTGTAATGTTTCTTTCTTTAAATCACTTCTTTAGCGGCGAGTTTGTGAAACTGAATATCTTTTTCGAAGATCTCAACTACGAGGAGTTGTCTGAGCAAGCAGATTACACAGTAAGTTGTCTAACATTCTTCATCCTATTAACGATGTAGGGTGTCTATCATTGTTCATGCCATAACCGCCCCTGATTCGCAGATTACACAATAGGTTTTGTAACCTTGTTCGTGTCATCATCTCCCCTGATTGTCCACTTATCCTCACTGCTTGTCTAACCTTGTTTATGACAATACCGCCCCTAATAGATGTTGGTGTTCGCTTCATTTTTCCTTCTTCTGTGATTATGTAATCAATGTTCTAAAACTAGGGTGAAATTGTTGTTACGCTTGCGTAGAGGAACTGTACATCTCTCTATAACGTCCTTGAAAGAACACATTGGCATGTTTCTGCTGCCAACGTGTTGAATTTGTTGTTAAATAACCTAAAAGCAGGAGCGAAATTATGTCTAAGGAGCAATGGGGGGAGGGTATCTTTTTCATACAAGGGACGCAAGTTATTTTATAATGCTTGTGCGCATAACGTACATAGTTCTATCCCTTTTAAGAAATATAAATGTGTTAATAATGTTATAATATGTTATAATAATGTTATAATATGAAAGTAATACTGAGTGTATAGATGAATTCAAGGTGAAGTAGCCTAACAGCTACCAATCTCTACCTACAGAGCGTAAACCTACTCTCAGACATTGGCGGTACTATAGGCCTGTGGATCGGGCTGTCTGTCTTGAGCCTGTTTGAGCTCATTCATCTGGCGTCGTCGTTGGTCTACTACATCCTGTGTGGGAGGTGGAGGGCAAAGGAGGACGGGAAATATGGCACTGACTGACAGAAGGAATATGCTTCTGCTGATAGAATGATTATACCTCTAGCTGACCACATTAATTGTTTTTTTTTCTTTGTTAATATAGATAATACATAAATGCGAGGTTATGTCAAAATAATTCATAATAATTAAATACAGTCCTGCAGCATTCTGAAGGTTTTTAGCCAATAACACTCAGAGGCGTAGCTAGGGGGGGGGGGGGGGGGGGGGACTGGGGGTACATATTTCCCCGGGCGCCGACCCTAGGGGGCGCCAAAATGGGTTGGAAAAAAAAATAAAAGCATTATAAATATAAACATATATGGGGGGGGGGGGGGGCAAATTGAAAGTTTGTCACCGGGCGCCTGGAAGGGTCGCTACGCCTCTGATAACCCTTCACACATGTTTTGTTTAATGACTAATGAATATTAAATTTGTTAAACTGACATTGTTTGTTAAGCAATTGTCTCAAAATGTCAGGATATCAAGACAGGCTAAACTAACCAGGTTAATACTATATTGTATGTAACAAATAACCAATATTTATTAGACAATCACAAAATTAACAATGCAGGAAACAAACCGAATAGTGAACTGTTATATTAGGATATGATGTTAAGGTTTCTACAGTTGAGTTTGTAATTGTTTAGACAAATATACTTGCTATATTATTATTTTACAACATAATATTTGCTAACAATTCATACTTTCGTTACAAAGACATCTCTATAATATTTTAATTAATTTTAAGAAAGTATTTTTTTAAAATGTGCTTTTGCTACGCTATTACAGGGCACAAACCATACACATTTTATTTTAAGCATGTTTGGAAACAATATCAATATTGATTTTTTTTTCAAAATATATGAAAAATAATTATCCTAGCAATTAATTTTCTTAACATGCTTATAGTTCAAAATGTTTTTTTTTTAAATTTTGCATGTAAAATTGCTTGGGCATTAATAAAATAACTTTTATTTAAGGGCAATTAACTGTTAAAGATATACCGCAGCTAAAACACAATAGCCTTCCGTATTTTTAATTGCAATATTTAGGAGTGAACAGTTATATTAAGTTTGTAATTATTCAATGATAAGAGCGTTATTTATTTTTAAATAAATGTTCTCTAAAACTATAAATTGTTTCATTCTGTTTTGAACTTTCACTGTTTTTATAACATAGCTAACTAATAAAATACGTGCAAAGATAGTCGTTTTGTTCTTTGATAAACTTAGCTATAGCTGTCAAACAATAATTAATGTTGTACACACGTAACATGAGGAATTGGACTTACGTCTGTGAGGGTGGACAGTATCTTTTCATAAAGAAGTTAATATTGGGTCGTGCAGACAGTGTGTTGTGTGGGTTCATCTTTAGAATACTCACTCAACTAGCCCTATCTCTCCTCAAGTGTATCAACAGTCTGTTTAAAGTCAGCAGGGGCTCGAGAAAGACCACAAACTACCTAAAACGTTGAGTTAATAAAAAAAGAGAAAAAAAAATATCGGATCACAGTTAAATTCAAGAGTTACGTGATTTGTTTAAATGTTTACTCAAGTAAAACCGCTCTAAAATGTTTAGTATTCGGTGAACTTTTTATTGTTACGAAATTAGGGTAGTTCTAGTCTAGTATTGAAAGGTGTAAATGTATATCTAAAACTTATTTAAAAAAAAAGTATTGTAAATATTCAAAATATTTTTTTCAAAACCGTTACTATTAAAAATCTTCAGCGACAACTCGTTGCTTTTACAACTAATGCTTACATCCTGTATTCAAACGCTGTGGGGTTTTAAATGTTTAAGGCAAAGCTAATTATTAAATACCCACAGCAGTCGCAATCAAGTTATTAACAAACTAATAGGGTACATTAGTTAGTCTACTCTGGCTGTTGCGTACTGCGTTAATTATTTCTTCTGTTAATGGGTAATGGCAAACATTTGTTGTCCTGTAATGGGGACAATAAACCTGCACTAAAGAGTTGCTTTTTAATAATCAGAGTAAAGTACCGTTTCCGGTTCCCGGACTCGGTAAGATGATATAAACACCCACGGTTGAGACCCAATACTTATTGGCTTATATAACATTTCGTCCACCTAACGGAATTGCTACACATTTTTTCGGTATTTTAAAAACCGGAAATAGAGAAAACAAACTAGTTTATTATTGTATACACATGCATGCACATACACACACATATATGTTGTTTATGAAAGCATAAAACGTCGAGAGTTGTCAAAGTTAGGATCTCAATATTTTTTTGTTTGTTAATCTTTCACGTATTATAACACGCATATTTCTTTTAAAGCCAATGAACATACATACTGTCCATGTTTTATCAGCTGATCAGCTGGCCAAGAAACTGAAAAACCAGTCCTACGCACACAAGGGCCTGAACTTGATCACCAAGAGAAACATCTTCTGTACCGCCGCAGGTGCCAGGGCCCCCGCTCAGAAAGTCATCGTTCTCTTCACTGACGGGGTGTCAACCGACAGTTCAAAAAGTAAGGTCTTTAACTATCGAGGCTTCAAACATATTTTAACATACTAATAGTCCATTTTAATTGACGTTTAAGAACACTCAACGAAAAAATGTATTGATACTAAGATCGTTGTTATTTTAATGATCCCATTTTAAAAGCAAAAACATAAAAAAAATAAATAAAAAATAAACTCAATCTAACTGACTAATAGAGGGGAATAATGGTAGTGTTATATAACCACACATAAAATGTAGTCAGGGTTTAGCTATTGTTTTAAAATTCCAGTATAATGTAAGAGATAAAAATCGTTTCAAAAATACATAGTTCTGTGTGTAAGAGGTGTGTATACCCTCTTTCACCCTTAACTTTGAGCATAGTTTCCCCCTAGTCTTTTGAAGAAGAAAGTAACATTTTTAATTAGTAATCATAAATCATTTTAATAACAAATCCTAAAATGTAACGAAGTAAGAAAAAAATTAAAAAGGTACTAGTTGCATTAGAAGTAAATTTACCAATGCAAATAAAGGAAGTTGTAATATTAAATATATCAAATTAACGCAAGATTTAGCAAACAGTTAGACTTCTAGAGATTTAATTTTGCTTTAAAATACAAGGGAAAATACTCGTAAATATATTTGAGATTTGGTATTTATGAGTTCATTCCCTTGAACAGATATAAGTACAACGTTGTCAGAATATGAAACAAAATATAACCACTAACCGTGTAGCAAAGTAGCGTGTCTATTGTAACAAATATATTATTTCATGAGCTATGTTATACGATATTCAATCTTGTTTTAGTTAGCGCCAGTGGAGACTAGAGCTAGTGTAGGCGTTGTTTAGTACTAGTTGAGGCGTGATCTTGGTATTGGAGGCGTGATCTAGTGCTAGTGTAACGTTGTCTAGTGCAAGTGGCGGTTTTATCTAGTGATATAGGAGGCGTGGATCAGAATTTGAAGAGCCGTGTGCTTGTGCTAGGGGAGGTAAGGACTAGTGCTGGGGAAGATGCGGACTAGTACTAATGGAAGCGTAGACTATGAGTGTAAGAAGAGGCGTGGTCTAGTGCTAGGTGTTGACGAGTGTTAGGTGAAGTTATCATACAAAAGAAGCAGCATATAGAAATATAAGACAAATACAGTGTTTCTTCAACGTTAAAGCCAGAGACAGTACTTAAAACTAGCCATATCTCTAATAGATACCTAACTAACAGATGAACTCTACTTCATTTGCCCCATGTGTGTTGAGCACAAACCGGAAAATATAATGATAATAGTAAGATAGTTAAAAAATGGCGTACATTAATAATCAAATCACATCAGAATGAATGAGTGACGGTAAATCATTGACCTATGACAAAAACACCAGCAGTTAGAAACCCGAACCCGATTCCCAAGATTGGAACCTGAATGCGCCAAACACCAACAGACTTCGTGGGGGACAAAAGCCAGGTTACACGGGCGTCAGGTGTCCGCTTTAACAAAGCCACGTGTTACTATTCATAGCTCAATCTTATTGATTTATTCTTTTATTTGATTGTAATTTTTTTTTAAACAAAGCAGTGGCTGTGTGCCTGTCCTGAAACACTTAAACATAACCGAATCAAAATAAAGTCAAAAACAGTTTAACTCGCATGCAGGTGCGTCAGTAAACACTATTATGCTATCTATAAATGTTGTTATGATCATCTAAATAACAGATCTCTATTTAGACCTGATCGAGACGCAGCTAGCTTAGTCGTTTGGTCCATTTGTTAAACTAAAATACAGTGGTTCTTTTGTCTCTTTCATAAGTTAAACTAACATGTGGTGTTATATGAATATCAAAGCGTGTTTAAGGACACGACACCATACATTGAAACTCAAGCGTGTAATTATACCGTCGGCATTCCCGCTGGTAGACCTATGGCAATCTAAGAAAAAAATAATTAGATTTTCGCCTTGTAGTGTCAGTAATTAAACAATGACAGGTGTATCTTGTCACGATTTTAGAAATATAAATTGCGTCGAAAGGTAGCTGTATATTATTTGAATGCTTATAATTTAGATAGTGTTTTTGTAAAATTATACAGGTTCGGAAGATTACATTCTAACTAAGGTAAATATAAATATTAATCTAGACTTGAAATTATATGTTATCAATAATGTATTCGTGTTTCTAAAATATTGGCTTTCTATTTGTGTTTTATTCTATCTTAATTAAAAACAGATAAATGTATCGTTGATTAGCATAACTTCTTCGGAAAATACATTCGTCTTGAATACCTGGATAGCATTAAAATTATCGTAATAAGTCAAAGTTATAAATACATTTAATTAAGTGCTTTTCAATTTATTTCTTAAAACAAAGTAGTTTGATTATTTTCATTTTATGTAATTGTAAAGTAAGTATACTATAAACTGAATGTTTCTTACCCCACCCCATATCTGTATCAGTGATGTTGAACGTGATATAATTATTGCAATATATATACTACCAACATGCTAGTTATCCAAGTTAAAATTTATAAAGTATTTAAAAACTTTTACGTTCTCTAAACTTGTATATAATATGTGTATAGCTATTTCGTAATGGGATGGCGCGGTCGAGTGGTAGAGCGCCCGACTGCTAACCTGAAGGTATTGAGTTTAAATCACGTTCCGGAATCGATTTTGTAAAACGACCCTGCTCTGACGGTTACCAGTCTCACTTTAAGTAAAGTAAATACGGCTGGTTGTACCGAGGTCCAGAATCACATGAACTCTACTTCAACTACTCTAAGACTCGTTGATCTAAAAGTGGAGTGTTTATATCAATTTCTTGTTATAATATATTGATCATGAAATGGAATACATTGCACCAACTCGTCTGGGGAATGAAATCACTAGATAATTACCACGACGTATCATTAAAACACGCATTAGATGTAATTGACTGTCCTATGGTTGATTACCAGCTCTTTGTCGCTGTAATGTCGCGTTAGGTTACTCTCGGACAAAGTCTGGTTCTTGTCAATGTCGGACTGTGTGTGCTATTTATTATGGTCGGGCTGTGTGGTATGAAATTTTTTCATTTTTTTTTTACGCACGCTTACATATGTTAATATATGACGCACGTTGACAATTATCATTGTATGACTCACGATGATATTTATAATTGTATGACGCACGCTGACATATGTCATTGTATGAGGCACGTTGTGAATTATCATGCTATGTCTCACGTTGACATTCTTTATTGTATGACGCACGCTGACAATGTCATGTTCGGTCTAGCGTCGAGTCATTACCAATCGCCTGCTCTATCGGGCGATTAAATTATCTTTTAATGGCATCAGAGCCAGTTAATGGTGTGTGTGCTTCCATGCATACAGTCCGGCAATTAATACATACGGACTTCCATTTTGTTTTTACAGTTTGTATATAAGATTGTAAGTCCTGTTGAAAAACGGTTTTAAACAATGTCGTTTTTTTTTTGTTTTTTTTTTAAATTTATACAATTTAAAGCCGCGCCTCAAGTTGATTTGCATGATTAAACCAGACCGTAGTCTCATATATAAAACATCGGTGCTTGTTGTGCAGAAAATAAAACTCACAGAAAGCCAGTGCACGTGAATATTTGATGATTTGTTCCACGGTATGTTGTGACAGGAGCCTTGGTCGTCAGACCATCACGGTTACGTTGTTCAATTTGTGTTTTCTAGTCTTTGTTGTTTAAACTCACTTTCGTTACAACGTATTTCTTATATATTTTAGCTAAAAAATGCAATTTTAAAACCCGAATAGTTTATGCGTTAACCTGTGTATATTAATCAGATTGGACCTACGTAGTTTTTTTCGCGAACTTTTCTGTTCAGTAATAAATAATAACATTTAAGTGCAGAGGAGTCGACAGTTCATTTTCTTATTTTGAGCAAATTTCAACCAAAGAATTGTTTTAATTTTTAAATCTATTACCTTTAGCAAATATAAATATTTTTTTAATGTTAGTATATTATATAATAATAAATTAATATTTTACAGTATTCATATAAATAAAAAAAAATACGAGCCAGAAATCAGCAGAATAGATAGATGTTTTAGTTGCTTGTTTGGCAAGCAACCGTTTATCAATTTTAGATTAAGCCATCAATGTAGACTTGAAATAGCTTCACGTATTTAAAATGAATAAAACCAATATTTTATTCTATTTGTATTTATCCGGGCGCTGTGGTTGTAATTCCTTCAGATATTTTACAATCGAGTCATCGATACTATAGTATAGGAATAAATCAATACCTACGTTACACCAACGCCTTTAGAAAACATACTATCCCATTAATGGAATCGGATACGACTCCGTAAAGGGGTAGCAAACATCAAAACATTGACTGGCGGGCTGATTGCAATTAACGTGTGTAATTTGTCACCGTGAACTAGCGGCTAATGGTCTCATGAGGGACAAGATAAAGGTGATCGTGAACCACAGGCTGGTCACAAACAAAATGTGATGTTTTTTTTTCCCAGTGCAACCGAAGGATCATAGACGTTTTAATGTATCTGTAAACTAAATGTGGTTTGATGTGTGACGTTAAAAGACCGGTCATGCGTGGAGCATCTAAATGTATTCCAGTTGGTTGGTTGGTTGACGCGAGGTAGCTCACCAACTGGAGTCACGTATGCGTGCAGTTGTATAACAAGATATAATACACCAACATATATTCTGCAACTGGAACAATCTGTGCCTGGAGTGGTATAACTACATATAAAAGCAGAACAAAGGCGATGCTATGTGGCTAAGATAGTTAAGCTACTGAAGGAACTATTGGAACTCTGCTTGTTGTAACACATCAGCAGCGATGTTGGAGCTGAAACAGATGTTTAAAGCCAACGAGGTTTTTATTTTCATCTCATATTTAAATATTCGTTTGTGTGCAGGTGTACCTATACAATTGTATTGCTCTTTGTAGCTTATCATACACCAGCTTAAATCGGTGATTGCTACTGATTCAGGAAACGCTTGGTGTTGAACATAACTTAATTAAAATAAACTTTACATGGTGTAGGAACATAAAATAAAATAAAAACTATGTACTATTAAACTGTTAAAAGTATGTGTAGATGGCTACTTCGCAAAGGTATAAAAGGAAAAGTGCTAATTTTGAAATTTAGAATATCATTTAAATGTATAGGAACCTGGTGGACCGCGTAGATCAAGAAATGATTATATCACAGCATTATAGTATACTAGTAGGTTTTTGTGACTACAAGGTCTATAAGCTACACACTTAATGATACTAAACTTTATCATTACATCAAACCTAGACTTAAGCTTGCATCAGATAAAACTGATTTTATTGGCTTATTTAAATGTTGATTTTTCCTCACATAAACTTGGGTTTAGTCACTAAATACCATACATTTCATTCAAAAGTCATTTATCTACATCAAAATGTGTTTATCTGGTTGCAAATAGCGTCTGCAATCATATACATTATCTACACTAAATCTTCCGTCTATTGTGTAGGTTACGCAGTGGCGTAGCGAGGTCGGGTGTAACCCGGTGCGGCACTTAATGGTGTCACCCCCCCCAGAGGCATAGAGACCCTTCCCAGGGACAAACTTTCAAATTTTCGATTTGCACCCCCCCCCCCTCAAACTTTCGATTTGCACCCCCCCCCCTCGAGTTTTCGATTTGCACCCCCCTCAAACTTTCGATTTGCACCCCCCCTTCGAGTTTTTGTCTATATATTTTGCTATTTTTTGCCTTGGTGTCACCCCCCTAAATGGTGTCACCCGGTGCGGTCCGCACCCCCCGCCCCCCCCCCCCCTCGCTACGCCCCTGAGGTTACGATTGATAAAATAAAATTTCACACCATTAAGAGTTTATTTATATTCTGCTCACGATAATGTCTTGACGATCATAGTTAGACTGGTGTTAACATTTGAACAATTCATACAGTTAGAGATCATTCAGTTAGATTTATGTAAACCTTCCCCGACAGATCATACATGTAGACTGATGTAAACCTACCACAGATCATACATTTAGACTGATGTAAACCTTCAAAAGATCATACATGTAGACTGATGTAAACCTTACACAGATCATACAATCATGTAGACTGATGTAAACCTTACACAGATCATACAATCATGTAGACTGATGTAAACCTTCCACAGATCATACATTCAGATTGATGTAAACCTTACAAGATCATACATGTAGACTAATGTAAACCTACCACAGATCATACATTTAGACCTATGTAAACCTTCAAAAGATCATACATGTAGACTGATGTAAACCTGTCACAGATCATAATGTAGACCGATGTAAACCTTCCACAGATCCACCCTACCAAAATGCAACGCGGGGACTCTGAAAATTCCATGCAAGAGAAATCATCCTCGGCCGGTCTAATTAAAATATTCTCCAAATTTGCGGACAAAACCTCATTAAACGGCGTACCATTCATCAACTCGACACACAATTTGTTGATCAAGGCCGTCTGGTCATGTCTACTAGCTGCAGCCATTGGGGCTATGTTCTTTCATCTGTACAAGTATGATCTGCATCTCTTTAGCTTTAGCTCTAGCTTACACGTATGTACAGATCAAACTCATATAGCATCGCACTAAAACTTGTCCTCATTTCTCATTACCAAACATTAATATATTATAATGTAAAAAATAGGCTAATACACATAAACTTATTTTGTGCAGCTAATGTTTTGTTAAGATTTGCAAAGTTTTTATAAATTAAACAAAATGTAGAACAGCACTATTTACAAAATTGATTAGAACAGATTTAAGAGAGTATAGTCATTGCTTGTTGTTGCAGCCTCTTCATAACGTATCTGTCCTTCGGAAAGCATTCACAAATCAGCTTGGGTTTTAGCACCTTAGATTTTCCGGCTGTCACCATCTGTAACGTCAACATGATGCGGATGTCCCACGTAAGATTTTAAAATTTCTTGTCAAAAGTTATCAAGTAACTGGAACACTGCCCCCCCCCCCCCCATAGCTTATCGTACTCACAGGATGCATCCATTCCACCACATAACATACCGATTGTTTTAGCTATGTGATGCCGTCTCACACTCTATGGCTTATCAGGGCTTTTACCATGATGATTCCCTCCACCTAGGCACATTGGCTTAGGAATATACACTCGAAGTACTTAACTAATTAGTTTCATTCATCATGGTGTTTTCCTCACTGACAATAGAAATGTTTAACATGTAGGACATATTTATTAACAATTTGATTACAAAATACCAGGAATTACAAAAGCAAATGTTCTTGTTTCTAAATTATAAGTAAAAAAAAAACAACTGCTCTTTCTCTATTATTTCTTGAAGACACTTTTTATAATTATTTTAACTCTTCTAAACAGTCATCGTCTTGTGAAAAAATCTTTTTGTTGTTTCCAGAAAAAATCAGCCTCCCGTGAGATTCAAGAGTTGATCGAGAAAGTGAGCCCTGATAAAATGCTGCAACAGGCCAAACAGTGGAAACCTACCTACGAGGATGACGATGACGTTACAACACGGAGAAAAAGGCAAACGGGTGCCTCAACTTCTAATAGGTCCGTTCAATGTTAATAATTATCATGTTTTGTCTGTATAACACACATATTAAGAAAACCCCAATATATAATATCAAGACCACGGTTTTACATAATGTATACTATGCACCGAACTTAAAATAAAAAGGCAATATATCAGTCCGTTAAATACTAAATAATACATCATGTTGCATGCTGGCTGAGTTTAGAACTTTGCTCAAGTTAGTGTGAACTGTGAGAGGAGCAGTGAATTACAATGTCTGAAGCTTAGAGCTCTGAACCAAACTTCATATGTAGTACGAAAATTTGAGGTATAAGCCAAACTTCAAATATTGTAAGAAGCTAAATGTTGTAAGCTAAACTTCATTAAATGTAGGGAGGTTATTTTTCTAAACTAAACTTCATGTAATAGCCAAGCTCTGTGGCACACGTAGTTAACATTTGTGTTATGTGTTGTGTTTATGTAAGTTGACAATCGATACGTTCAAATTTTGAAGCTTTTAGCATTTTTTTACTTGTATCTTCATTGAATTAAATCCTATTCGCATCTTGCCTCCAGCACTTCATCATCCAAAATGCGCTCCACAAATTTTTTAGACGACTTTAACACAGACTCCAACATGACGTACCTCAGAAGTAGCGCACAGAACACATTTTATGCCAAGGTATGCTTAATGCTATATTAGACATATTAATAACATGTTGCAATATTACCCGCTGGGCTACTGTAGATTCGACATTCTCACTCGTTTAACCTTTTGCTTTACTTTACTGTCACAAACATGTGGGACGTATATCAATAATGTAGCTTGACATGTTTCTCTCATATTACCATGTGTAGATGTGTGAAACTACAGAGCTTTTTCACATCAGTAATGTAGCTTGGTATGTTTCTCTCATATAGACATGAGTAGAAGTGTGGAACTACAGAGTTTTTAACATCAATAATATACCTTGACATGTTTCTCTCATATCACCATGTGTAGAAGTGTGATGACTGCTGGGAAGGACAGTCAGAGAGCTCTACATTGTACCAAAACGAAGAGCAGTTTCGGGATCTTTTCAGTTTTCAAAATAAGTAAGTAGCCTATTGTTCAGTATCTTCCATATCTGCTTGTAGTTGTTCAATTTTACTAGTTTTTGTAACACTTGAGCGCTGCGAGATGTATTTTTAATTGTTTGTGGTCTGGTTATTCGAGTTTGCTAGTTATTTTAACACTTGAGCACCACTAGATATACGAGTGATTGTTTATCTGTCTACTGCCGTTATGTAATGTCTCGTGTGTGCTACAGGTCAATACGTTCAGCCCTTGGTCATCAGATACAAGACATGATGCTGCAGTGTTCGTTTGCTGGCCGGAAATGCGTGCAGAGGTCAGTCAACACTAGTACATGACGGTACTCACTCATATCCTGTGTATTTGACAGTTTCAAATAAAACAGGATCAACTGGACTTAAAGACGAACACCAAGATATATAAAACAGTAGTATTAACCAACATTAATTACAACCCTGCTCCCAATACAGACGCTTATTTCCATTCAATGTAATGGAAAATGATTTTATTTTGTGTTATTAAATAATTCAAAATCTGGCAATACTTTAGTTAGATTGTAGTGTACTTTTGTTGATCACATAACGTTTAAATTCAAGCAAGCTATTTACAAGACGTGATTCTATGTTCAAGAAACTACCTAACTGTCCATTAGTTCGTCACACTTGACTGGTTTTTTATCAAACGCAGTATACTGTTTACACGGACATATAGACTTCAACGATCTTAAGACGGAATTTTTGTCTTAACATGCTTCATTCTATTAATTAATGTATTGAAGAAGTAGTCTACGAACATTACTTAGGCTACCCAAAACAAACATTTTCTTGGATATTTCTTACTTAATAGTTTTACATATAAATGTCACTACTGAGATGATAAAACATTTTTTTCTAAATAAAAAACATAATTCTAATCTACATGTCTCACTTAATTTGACATTATTTTACCCTTTTTCTAAATCAAGAATTTATATTGCTTTTACGTTTCACTTTATATGACATTAGTTTATTTGTTTCTAAATTAAGATAGTAATTTCAACTCATCATTTGCTACTAGTTTCGTCATATTGTCACCTATTTCATAATTAGTGCTAATAAATTTAGCCCATACTCTATGCATTATTTGAAATAAATTGTTCGACATTCTCAAATTAATACGTGCTCATTGTATCTGATACCACTCACCATTTTAACCCTAGCAACTTCACCCAGATACAGTCAGCGGTCTACGGGAATTGCTACACAATCGAGTACGACAAGTTCGTGGCCAGGAAAAGTGGCCCCTCTGCAGGTACACAGTGAACAAATTCCATAGCTTACAAGTACATATATTAGAGCTTAAACGTATTTTATTTTCACAGACAGCAACACCATTGATTTTACACACATTATTTACGCAGTTATTTCAACGAATTATGTACAAGAAACTAACAAAAGCATCTGTGTTCTTGTAATACGCCAGTCATTAGACAAGAATATTCGGCCACATTTTACAAACTTCCCGATTTTTTATGTTCTTAATTATCTTAAAGAGATAGAAATTCCAAAAGGTTTTCATATAATTAATGATATAAAAATTATACTGCTGTTTTGAAGCTATTCAGATACTGCTCTGACGCTTTCGGAGTCTGTTCGGACGATGTTAGAATGCATATCTTTGATTGCAGAACGTCATATAAAAAGTAATGATACTAAACATAATAATGTTGTTCGGACGCTGTTAGAATGCTGTTCGGACGCTGTTAAAATACTGTTTGGACGCTGTTAGAATGCTGTTCGGACGCTGTTAAAATGCTGTTGTTTGAATACTTCCAGGCCTGGAGCTGACCCTCTTCCTTGAGACAAGCGAATACATCCCTGGCATCACCAACGGTAAAGGCCTACAACTGGTCGTCCACGAGCAGGGCACGGTGCCCTTTCCTGAAGACGAGGGCATCGCTATCAATCCAGGCACACAGACACTCCTTGGGTTAAGGATGGTGAGTAGTCACCCTTCTCTTCATACATAAGATGGTTGTATAATCCAGGTGTTTACAGTTCGGTTATATTTTTTTTTTTATATTTTTTTTGGTTTGGAATCAATCACATAATGATATTGTAATTTTCTTTTAATAACTTACTTAATAACTTTCTAAATAATGAAAAAATTCCACTCACCAGAATTAGCGATTCTTAAAAATTATTATCAAGCATTGGTAAATCAATGAAACGTTATTAATGCCGTCGTGTCAATTTGTTCTTGATCTATCTGTAGGTAAAAATAACCCGCCTTGGTGAGCCTTACGGTCCATGTATTTCAACGAGCACTTTTGAAGCAAAATACGGCATAAAGTATACAAGAAATGTAAGTTCGTTAGCATTGCAATTTATAGTTTGATTTAATGAATACTTAAATGCAAGTTCATATAAAAATAACTAACACTAAATAAATGCGTCATGCTTGTAAATCTGTGCCACGTATCCCCATATACTTGCTGCATGTGTAAATCGGTACCATGTGATTACCAGGCCTGCCAGCGAATCTGTGAGCAGCAGCAGATTATTGACACGTGTCAATGTGTAGACGCCCTCCACCCCCAGTTGATTATCTACATGAACGCCACGAACGTCCAACCCTGCAACAACATCACGCGTGAGTTGATGGGGTGTCTCTTGTCGAACTGGGTTTATTTTGTTGTATTGGCCCAGTACATATTGGGTCAATTGTGTTTTAGTGGCCCCAATCAGCATGGGGTTAATTATATTTTAGTGTCCCATTAACCTGTGTTAATTATGCTGTATTGGTTTCTGAGATAATGAAATAAATCCTCTTTTGTGACATCACTAAAAGGGGTTAATTTGCAATTTTAAATTTTATAACAAATGATCTTTCGATTTAGGTAATGATGAGTTAATGTAAGTTATAATACTAATAGATTTACTGTCGGATTAAGAATATCTACTTCCAAAAACCATTAAATTAAGATAGGGCCATCTTATTATGTAAAATTGAAGTTCTTACAGGATCTACCTAATTTGTTGAAATCTTTGAAAAAGGGCAATTTGAAAAATGATTTTCTGTCCTTAGAAATGGTGTGTGTCACCCAGGTCGAGTTCGCGTACAACGCTAGTGAGGACAAGTGTGGGTGTGCCAGTCCTTGCAGGTGGGTGGTGTGTCTGCAGGTGTCTTTATCTGCAGATAGGTCGTGTATCTGCAGGTAGATCGTGTATCTGCAGGTAGATCGTATATCTGCAGGTTGATCGTGTGTCTGCAGGTAGGTCGTGTGTCTGCAGGTGGGTCGTTTGTATGCAGGTTTCTTCATCTGCAGGTAGGTCGTGTCTCTGTAGGTGTTTTATGTGCCTGCAGGTGGGTTGTGTATCTGCGTGAGTCTTGTGTCTGCATGTGTTTAATGTGTTGTTAAAATTATTATACTAATTACCCTTTATTTTACAACAGTGAAAGCCTGTACGAGAAAACGATATCACCCAGACAATGGCCCAGTCCATCTTTTGCTGTAAGTCAATGTATTCAAGTAATACACAGACATCATATCCATACACGTTATAAACACAGACTCCATACACGTTATAAACACAGACTCCATACACGTAATACACAGACTCCATACACGCAATAAACACAGACATCTTACACGTAATACACAGGCATCACATGTAGGAAGTTAGAGTGTAGGAATGAATGAAATGTGTAGCCCGATCTAAATGTTTCTTTCAGTCAATCCTTGTGGAGAGCATTTGTCAAGACAGGTCTCCAGAAACCTGCAGCGGTCTCAGGAACATGTCAGACAATGAATTACTGTAACATCCTTAATTGTTTGATCTTTTAGCTTACATTGATTATGTTTGCTTTCAATTAAAATAAGTTACATATTCACTTTTCTATTGGATACATTTAAGATTTTAAAAGTTTAAAAATGTTCTATAAAAAAAATATTTTATGTTAATTTTTTACATTTAAAATTAAAAAAAAAATTAAATTTTATTCGGTCGCTTAATTTGAGGGTATTGTCTATTGAGATCGTTCTATCTTTTAAATCACTTCTATAGCGGTGAGTTTGTGAAACTGAATATTTTCTTCGAAGATCTCAACTACGAGGAGTTATCTGAGCAAGCAGATTACACGGTAGGTTACCTAACTGTTCATACGATTACTCCCCCTGGCTGACCAGATTACACGATAAGTTGTCTAACTGTGCGCATGTCACCAGATTCCGAGGTAGTTTCTCAGACATAACCGCCCCTGATACACATGGTTTCACGATGAATTGTCTAACTTTGTTCATGACATTATCGCCCCTGATTCACATGCTTTCACGATGAATTGTCTAACTTTGTTCATGACATTATCGCCCTTGATTCACATGGTTTCACAATAAATTGTCTAACTTTGTTCATGACATTATCGCCCCTGGTTCACATTGTTTCACGATGAATTGTCTAACTTTGTTCATGACATTATCGCCCCTGGTTCACATTGTTTCACGATGAATTGTCTAACTTTGTTCATGACATTATCGCCCTTGATTCACATGGTTTCACGATGAATTGTCTAACTTTGTTCATGACATTATCGCCACTGATTCACATGGTTTCACGATGAATTGTCTAACTTTGTTCCCGCCAAATACCTCCTCTAATAGATGTTAGTGTACTTCATGTTCCTACTAATGTAACTTCGATTTAACGGCGAATTAATTGTTTAAAACTATCATTTTATTTTCGTTACACATAGAGAAACTGCATGGATATTTTTAACGATCTTAAAAGAAACACATTGGCATGTTTCTGCTGCCAACGTGTTGAAATTATTGTTGAATAACCTATAAACAGGAGCAATATTGTGTCTCAGGAGCATGGTAGAGGTGTGTGTGTGTGAGGGGGGAGTGTTCTTCATACAAGGGAAGCTACTTAGTTTATAATGCGTGTACGCATAACGTACAGAGTTCGTTCCCTTAAGCTGAATGTAAATGTGTTATAATGTAAAATAAAGTGTAATATTAAGGTTGCAATACATGGATATAAGATTTAGAGAAAAGAGGAATCGAATGTTGAAAGTAATACGGAGTGTAAAGGTGAATGTTGAAAGTAATATTTGGTGTATAGATTAATTGAATGTGAAGTAGCCTGTAAACACCTAAGACCTACCAATCTCTATCTACAGAGCGTGAACCTACTCTCAGACATTGGCGGTACCATTGGGCTGTGGATCGGGCTGTCTGTCCTGAGCCTGTTTGAGCTCATTCATCTGATGTCGTCGTTGGTCTACTACATCATGTGTGGGAGGTGGAGGGCAAAGGAGGACGGGAAATATGGCACTGACTGACAGAAGGAATATGAATCTGACTGACTGACAGAAGGAATATGCTTCTGTTGATTGAGGGAATATGCCTCTAGCTGACCACATTAAGTGGTGTGATTTTTATTCTTTTTTTAAATACATAACATATCAAGCCGAGGTCAAGTAAAAATAATTAATACTAATTAAATACAGTTCTCCAGCAACCTAAAGTTTTTTACCAATAGCCCTTCACACATGTTTGGTTTAGATGGCTAATGAAGGTTAAATTTGTTAAACTAACCATGTTTGTTGAACCATTGTCTCAAAATGTCAGGATATCAAGACGGGTAAACTAACCTTGTTTAACAAACCATTGGCTCAAGATGTCATGATATCAAAACAGGGTAAACTGATCTTGTTTGTTAAACCATTTGCTCAAAATGTCAGGATATCAAGACAGGGTAAACTAACATCAAACATAAAAGTCATTAGACAATCATACAAATTAAATAAAATGTTTCCATTGATAAACTGTAGTGCAGGCAGACATGCATTAAACAAACCGAAAAGTGAAGGAAACTTATATTATAATATGATATTACGGTTTCTACAGTTGATTTTTTTATTTTGTAAAAGAAATATACTATTTTTACGTTACCACATAATTCTTCCTAAATTTTATACTTTCGTTACTAATACATTTTCATTAATTTTAAGGTAGTTTTTTTGTCTTTCCTAATCTGTTAAAAGGCAGAAAACATTCACGTTTATTTTTAAGCGTGTTTGGAAGAAATATCAATATTCAGATTTTTTTTTTTTCGAAATGTAATAAAAATGATTATCCTGGCAAATAAGTTTCTAAACATGCCTGTACTTCAAAATGTTTTGTTAATGTTGCTTGAGAAACTGTTCGGGCATTAATAAAATAAATTCTATGTAAGGGTAATTAACTGTTAAATATCTACTTCAACTAAAACACAGTAGCCTCCAGTTATTATGATTTCAATATTTAGGAGTAAACAGTAGTATATACAGTTGCTCAAGTTTGTAATTGTTCAAGGATAAGAACGTTGTTAATATTAAAACAAATTTAATCTAAACCTATTATTTGTTTCATTCTGTTTTGAACTTTCACTGTTTTTATAACACAGATAACTAATAAAAAAGGTGCAAAATTTGAAGTGAATTTGTGTTTATAAACTTAGCTATAGCTGTCAAATAGTAATTAATATTCTACACACGTAACATGAGGAATTGCATATGTCTGTGAGGATACACAGTATCTTTTCATACAGAAGTTAATAGTGGGCCGTGGACAAAGGGTGTTGTGTGTGGGTTCATCGTTAGAATACTCACTCAACTAGCCTTATCTGTCCTCAAGTATATCAACAATTTGTGTAAAGTGAGCAGGGGCTCGTGAAAGATCAGAGACGACTTAAAACGTGTAGTTAATAAAAAAAAGAGAAAAAAATATTGGACCACATTTAGCGCACTTTATTTTTAAGAGTTGAGTTACTTTGTTTAAATGTGTACACAACTAAAACGGTGCTAAAACTTGTTTAGTATTCGGTATAATGTTTATTGTTTCGAAACTAGGTTAGTTCTAGTATTGAAAGGTGTAAACGTATATCTCACACTTCTTTATCACATTATGGTGGTCGTTTAGAAAAAAAAAACTTTATTGTAAGTATTTAGAACAATTTCTTTCAGAAACGTTACTATTCAAAAGCTTCAGCGACAACTCGTAGTTTTTTACAACTAATGGTTGCATTCTGTATTCAAACACTAGGTTAAAAATGTAAGTAGGTATGTTAAAGGCGAGGCTAATGATTAAATACACAAAGCTGTCAAATCAAGTTACATCTTTTGATTGGTTGCATTACTTGTTTTACTCATGTCGTTGTGTATGGCGTTAATTGTTGCTTCTGTTGATAGGTTATGTCGTTGTATATGGCGTTAATTGTTGCTTCTGTTGATAGGTTATGTCGTTGTGTATGGCGTTAATTGTTGCTTCTGTTGATAGGTTATGTCGTTGTGTATGGCGTTAACTGTTGCTTCTGTTGATAGGTTACGGCAAACAATTGTCGTCCAGTAATGGGGACAATGAACCTGTTATCACGTGACCTCTACACCAGTAGGGTCCAGGTGCCAGTGATACATAGGACTGCTTGTGTAGTGGAGAGAATAAAATCCATTATCCAGTACATAATCGAACATAAAGTTCCCCTTCCGGTTTCCGGACTCGGTAAAATGGTTTAAACACCCCCGTTTGAGATCCAATACTTATAGGCCTATATCCAATTTCGTCAATCTAACGGAATTGCTACTCAAGTTTTCGTTTAAAAACCGGAACTAGAGAAAACTATTTTTTTCCGTTTTTTGGGGGAATTACTGAAAACAGTTTTTTAGACTTACTATATTATCATATAAATATATAAACTAAACCGTATTTCAGCTGTCTTGTATATACACACACATACACATATATGCACACACGGTTTAGGAAAGTATAAAACGTCGTGATTTGTCAAAGTTTTGATCTCAATTTTTTTTTTGCACGATAACAATGATTTTGCTATAAACCGCTAAAAAACCGCATTAAACCATTTTGTCTGTATGTTTGGGAAACAATTGTTAATCTATAAATATAAATCCTTAGTGGCATTATCAAACGTATTTTCCCCCACGTTTTCTTTAACTTGCTTTCGCGTCTGTTTGTTTGTTTGTTTGTTTTTCCAATCAAATCTTTCGATCGAAATTTCGGGCACTTCCCAGTTAGCTAGCGCGCTGAAATTTTAAAAGGTAAAGTGAAATACCTGTCAGGTAGGCTACTGAAATGTTAAAACAAAATAGGCCCTATGTGTTAACACAGCGCAGCCTCCGTTATTGTAGTTGTATACAGCAGTGAAGAAAATATTACATAACTAAACTTTGTTACCTTAAAGACAAACAGAACAGACGATATTTCAAGTAAATTACGGGTGAACGAACAACATAACAAAAGACTAATGGAGCATACAGTTGTATATTATGGACGTTTTTTTTATTATTATATTCCGTTGTATTGTATTCCGTTGTATTGTATTCCGGTGTATTGTATTGCGGTGTATTGTATTCCGGTGTATTGTATTCCGTTGTATTGTATTCCGGTGTGAGTGCAACAAGGCCACAAGACTTGTCAGTTGAATGTCACAAGTTTACAGATTTCGGGAAAGATTTAAGAATCAGGAGAGTCATCTTAAAATGAAGTTTAAGGGTTAGTTCACTGACATGATATGCTATCAAACATGTAATCTAATGCACGATGTGTATGAACCGTGCGGCGTCAATTCGGCCAATGACGAAACGGCCCCGTCAAAACGACCCCGACAAAACGGCCCCGTCAAAACGACCCCGTCATATCGGCCCCGTCAAAAGGGCCAGCGACATATGGACCCCGTCATATAGGCTCCCGACAAATAGGCTCCCGTCATTTAGGCTACCGACAAATAGGCTCCCGTTATATAGGCTCCCGACAAAAGGGCTCCAGTCAATAAGGCTCCCGACAAATAGGCTCCCGTCATTTTGGCTCCCGACATATAGGCTCCCGTCATTTAGCTTTTTCCACAAAAAGGCCCCCGTCATTACGACTCCCGACAAATAGGCTAGCGTCATTTTGGCTCACGACAAAAAGGCTCCTATCAATTTGGCTCCTGACAAAATACATGAATACATGACTATACGACTACAGGACTACAGGACTACATGACTACATGACTACATGACTACATGACTACATGACTACATGACTACATGACTACATGACTGCATGACTACTTGACTACATGACTACATGAGTACATGAGTACATGAGTACATGAGTACATGAGTACATGAGTACATGAGTACATGAGTACATGAATACATGAGTACATGAGTACATGAGTACATGAGTACATGAGTACATGAGTACATGAGTACATGAGTACATGAGTACATGAGTACATGAGTACATGAGTACATGAGTACATGAGTACATGAGTACATGAGTACATGAGTACATGAGTACATGAGTACATGAATACATGAATATATGAATATATGAATACATGAATACATGAATACATTACTACATGACTACATGACTACATGAATACATAAATACATAAATGTAGGAAAACATGAATACATAAGTGCATGAAAACATGAATACACGAAAGTTTGAATGCGAAATCAATAAATCCATAACTGCAATAATACATGATTATATGATTTTTTTTCCATTTATTTTAACCTCACAAGTTGTCGGATTTTTTAATGGACAAAATATTTTGTCGCAATGGTCAACTTGCATTTGCTAACGTCGACGTTACCTCCTCACATCCCCTCTACGCCTCATCTCTCGTGCCGCATGGTGTCTCAATGAGTTTAACGACGCATTATGTTATAAGTTATTAATGCAATTAATTGTACTGAAGTAAAAAGGGAATATCATATAAAAGTGTATAAATGTTTTCGTCGCCCTGGAGTTGTATTGTTCCAAAGATCTGCTGCCGATAACCCACAGCCTCTGACACAGCTGGATCACGTGTGATCAAATCAATACATTACAGGGTGATTGTTCACTTGAGGTGTTTCAGTTATAATTGTCAGACCGTTTCGTGTGTTGTAAACCGTCATCTTCGGCACGTACATAATGGAAACCTTAAGGTTATAGCTATGTAAGTCTATACATTCAAATATTTAATTATTTCCTGTATAAATGTAATATTATTTAAACTTTGATATTTGTATTAAATGATTATTTTGGATTAAAATATTCATCGGCTAAAGCATTCGGAAACTTAGCAAACGGAAAATAAATTGCAGGTACTAATTTTAAGTTTTTATTGTATTTAGAATTTTTACCTGTAACTTCGACATTAATGTTGATATTAGCTCTTGAGTAATTATTTATTATTATTTCAGTCGAAACTACGCGATGTGTTTAAAAATTGTTCTAAATACATTCAGACGAAAACTTTTTTTCTGATGTGTTAAAGCGGATTTTGTATAAGTGTCCCATATATCTATTTTAAAAAGCAT